TTTCAGGCCTAGACCCTTCTTCAGAAACTGAAGAAGGGTCTAGGCCCGAAACGTCAGCCTTCCTGCTCCTCTGATGCTGCTTGGCCTGCTGTGTTCATCCAGCTCTACACCTTGTTATCTCAGATTCTCCAGCATCTGCAGTTCCTACTATCTCTTCATAGACTCTTGTCACTCAGGAAAGGAAAGAAGATGGTTGATAAAGAAATTCTGTGATAAAATCGAGAGCATTGAATCAGATCCAAATTCTTTGTCCCCGCACTGTTGACAGAAAGCCGTAATGCAATTGAGGATGCAGGTTTCAGAACAACACTGTTACTATTCTGTCTGACATTAATTCATGTTTTCTGCAGTTGCTTTGGTGGGATATGAACCTTTCCCATCTACTTGCAAAGGAGCATTTTGAGAATATATGCTGCTGCTCTATTTTCCATTTATTGTGGCTTTAAGTCAACAGCATGTAACAAAGAAGAAAAGCTTACAAAGCATCCCCGTGAAGTAGCAAATGCACCTGATAATGATTGTCATGTTATGCAGACTGATTGCTTTAGTATTGATCGTCTGCAAGTCAAAGGATTGTGACTACTCTAAATATGAGTTGAAATGTATATCTATTTAATGGCAATGTTTGAATGTTCTAGATGGAAAACCTTCAATGAAGATCTCATCCAATTAAAAATGTAAATATGTTTTTGTGAAAGTAATAGAATGTTCATTTTCTGTTGCTGGTTTTCACTGAATCAGATTATTGGGTACTAGTTATAAAATGTACAGTTGCATTTTGTTTGTTATTTCTGCATTATGTTAAGATGACTGTCAAAAGGATTACTTCTGAGCTGGCTCCTTGTGTGTTTTTTTTAATGAAATACAAAATATTAGGATTATCTGTGTAATTTTCTATTTTCAAAATTGACCTTTAATTCTTGTGTTTTGGTGTCCAAATTAAGTGTCAATTTGTAATATAGCATTTAAAAAAAAAACTCAATGGTATTGTGTTTTGGTGTTTTTTTTTAAGAGCACAATGACACTTGCCAACTGGGAAGGCATCATGTAACGTTAAATGTGCACTCCAGTGCACAGGGAAGTAAGTAGACTGGGGTGATGACTTTCAGTAGCCTGTGTCTGCTTTTCTCTTCCCTGATGCCTTTTGTGTTGTAAAACAGAGTGAGTGCTGAGTGACAAAGTGATATCAAATTTGATTTTTGAAGCTTTATGATCAAAGGAAGAAGACATGAGGAAGAGGTTGCACTCTATGGTTTTGCGATTCTTGAGAATAGAATGAGGATATAAGCAATAGGAGAAGCAGGTATGGTAGAATGTTTACTACGCATGTGGTGCAACCAAAGTGTTAGTCTGAATGTACCAACTTATAGAGGTTTAAAATTAAAAAGAGAATATGATGGATATGTTGAGTTTAAACATAACTTGACTGAACACTACTGCTGGGACGATTCAATCCAATGTTGAGCAGATTGCCACTGTGTACAAGATGTACCCGACCTGATGCTGCAACACATTTTTTCTGGAATCTTCTGCATCCCCCAGGCTGTCAAAGACCAGTGCAGCATCCCCTGGGGAATTGTGTCAGAACAGATTAGAGTCAGGAGGAAAGGAGACACATACCCTTTTTATGGTACGAGTTGTGGTATGGTAAATTTAAATGTCCAGTCTTTGAGTAGGTGAGAGTAAATAGGGATGTGGATAGGGTTGGCAGGTAGGTAGGTGAATGGATAGTTGGATCAGTGGGTATCAGGTGAATGGGAGGAAAATAATAAAATTTGAAGGTCTTTGTGCTGGAAAGCAAATTACCAAAAAGATAATGGTTTGCAGTAAAAGGTGTTAATAATGGGACAAAAACAAAAGATGTATCTGGAATAGGAAGTGCTTATTGAAAAACACAATCATGAAAAACTGCTGCCATCCAAAAATATAGATTGGGCAGATGTCATGAACTGAAATTGAGAACTCAGTGTCAAACTTAAAAAGCTTAATTGCAAAGCGAGGTGCTGGTCCTCAAGCTTACTTCAAGCTTTAGTGGTGGATTATATGAAACCAAGGACTGAAAGTAAGGTTATGATGGGAAAATAAACTTGAAATTAGCAATGAAGAAAGGAATAAAAATTGAAAGAACTGCAGATGCTGTAAATCAGAAACAAAAACAGAAATTGCTGGAAAAGCTCAGCAGGTCTGGCAGCATCTGTGGAGAGAAATCAGAGTTAATTTTTTGGGTTGAGTGACCCTCCCTCAGAAGTGATGGTAGCTAGGAAAATGTTGGTTTATATGTCTAAGATCAGTTGTGTGGGGGTAAGGAGTAAACAATAGGTGGGCATAGAGCCCAAACAGAGAGAAGAATAGTTGGACAGACAAAGGCTGGGAGGGTGACTAGCTATTAATGGGGACTGTTGAGACTAAATAACAGTTAGCCCCAACAGTCCCCATTAATACCTACTAGGAAAGGACTGGCAGCTTGGCAAGGACTGTAAACTCGGAGCAAGATTGGAACGGAGAATTAAAACGATAGGCATCTGGAAGCTTTGAGTTACAGTTGTGGACGAAATTAAAAGTGCTTACGTAATATCATCCAATATGTGTTCAGTTTCTCTGATGTAATGGAGACTATACTGAGTAGTTTGTCTCCCTGTGAACTGACACTACATTGTGGTATTAAATGGAACCATATCTGGAATCCAGCTCCGATATTTGTGAGTGGAGTGGCAGTCATCCAAAGCCCAAACTACTTTCTGCTAGTGTTAACCTTGGATTGTCAGTAATGCATGGTAAGTGCCAACAACGTGGGATCAATTTTCATTCTGGCTGAGGTACCAATAGACCAGAAAATACTGCAGAAACTCAGATCTGCCAGCATATTCGGAGTGAGCGACAGCTAACTTTTCAAGTCCACTGACAACTTTGGAACTACAGTAGAGGTAGACTTGGGTAGTGCTTCCTCACTGTCCCCAAGGATGGCTTTGTGTGATCCAGTAGGTAGCACCTCTGCCTCTGACAGAAGCTCTGAATTTGAGTAGTACCCCTAGCACTTGATGGCCAAGGAAGATGTATTCATAACACAACCACTGATTTTGATCGTCAGATTCTTCCCATACATGAATGACAGTTGAAAGGAGAGGGAGAGATTCCTAGTTAATAATTTGAATTGAAAAGGAAGTTGGAGCGTGTATGGTAGAAGACTCCAATATGCAAATAGAAGTGAATCTTATGTCAGTAACTTGGGCTCCTTACAATTTTTAACAGGTCACCACCATGAACGATCAGACCATGTGTGGCAGGAAAGGACAGTTTAAAATAGATAGTTCCAAATTTCTGTCATCCTTTGTGTGCACATGTATTTCTTAAGTGTATGGACTTAAGACGGATAGGGGAATATTATGACTCAGGATTGGTCTGCAAAATTTCTAATTTAATATCAAACTGAAAGTTGTCAAATTCTTTGCTTGCCTAAGAAAATAAAAAAAGTCGTTATGCGAAGATAATGAGAATGCATTCGGCTGTGAGTACTTATTATGCCCTATTTTTAAAAGACCGAGCGTTCAGAATAAGAGGATGTGGTGACAGAGGCAAAACTAGCTGGAACTTTTCTTCAGTAACATCCCGACCCGAAACGTCGACTTTCCTGCTCTTTTGATGCTGCCTGGCCTGCTGTGTTCCTCCAGCTCCACACTGTGTTATCTCTGACTCCACCATCTGCAGTTCTTACTATCTTCCAGGAAATATTCTGCCCTGAACATTAGTGTGACGCAATATTTATTCCGTTCGCCTAGTGACAATCGCAATCGAGTTTTGGACATTTTCTGTCTCTCTTTCTCGATTGTGATTCCCTTCTGGTAAATCGAAACTACTTAGTTTGAAAGATAAGGCCGTGGGTTGCAGGAGGTCTCTCGACTTCCTCTTCAGCCGTAAGCAACATTTCTCGTAACTTGCGGTTGGTTTCTTGTCAGCATTTTTTTTGCAGGGCAGGGTGACGGTTGCTACAAGATCCAGTGCTGAACCGACACGAGCTGGGCGAATATGAGCGAATGTGGGCTTTGCCTGAGATCAGGAGAAAGCCGGGAAACAGGAAAACTATTTACCGATGGTCCAATCGCAGCGCATCAGAACTGCCTGGTAGGTAAAGAATAACTGACTTGGAAGCCATATCTGCAGTTCCTACTATCTCTGACTTGGAAGCCTCTCGTTTGCTTTAGGGATTTTGCTTTGCTTATCAAAGTACCCCAATCCGTCTCCATTGTATTCTCCATCCCTTTTTTCGGTTTTCTAATTAATTTTTCCTTGCTTTCAATTTCTTTGATTATATTTTTATTTTAACTTCGGATCCAAACGCCGGATTTGCGTTCCGTTTAAATCAAACGGGTATAATTCAGATTTTTAACGTGGAATATCTGAGAAAGTGGGAGCGGTCTGGTTAAAGTTGACAGAGGGAATAAATTCACTCTACTCACTATTCAGGAGCGGGGAGTGTCTTGCTGCAATTGGGCAGGGCCTCGGTGAAACCATGCCTGGAGTACTGTGTTCCGTTTCGGTCTCCTTCACTGAGGAGGGATGTACCAGCAATGGAGGGAGTGCAACCTCAGGAAAGCAACCAACATAATCAAAGACCCAAAAACAGAAATTGCTGGAAAAGCTCAGCGGCTCTGGCAATCTGTGGAGAGAAATTAGAGTTAACGTTTCAGGTCAAGTGACCCTCAAAGTGCTCAGTTCTTGCAGTTCTCAGTTTTTGTGTCTGATTTACAGTATCCACAGTTCTTTCAGTCTTTATAATCAAAGGCCCCTCCCACCGCAGTTGTACTCTCTTCAACCCGCTTGCAGAAGATTTAAAAAGTTTGTATACACGTACAAATAGATTCAGGAACAGCTACTTCCATGCTGTTAAATGGACCTCTCAAATGTTCATTCTGATCTCTCTCTCTGCGGCTGCAACACTGTATTCTGCTCTCTGTTCTGGTACCATGATGCACTTTGTATGTCATACAAAACAACACTTTTCACTGTATCTCGGTACGTGAGACAACAATAAATCAAACATTAAATCAATCAATGGAGGTTTATCAGTCTGATTCCTATCATAGAAGGATGGACTTCTGAAGCTGACTAGATCCAGGACTGGGGGTAGTAGGAACTGCAGATGCTGGAGAATCCAAGACAACAAGGTGCAGAGCTGGATGAACACAGCAGGCCAAGCAGCATCATAGGAGCAGAAAAGCTGACGTTTCCGGCCGAGACCCTTCATCAGAAATGGGGGAGGGGAAGGGGGTACTGAAATAAATAGGGAGAGAGGAGGCAGATAGAAGATGGATAGAGGAGAAGATAGGTGGAGAGGAAACAGACACGTCGAAGAGGCGGGGATGGAGCCAGTAAAGGTGAGTGTAGGTGGGGAGTTAGGGAGGAGATAGGTCAGTCCAGGGAGGACAGACAGGTCAAGGGGGCGGGATGAGGTGAGAGGAGGGGATAGGTGGGAGGAAGAACAGGTTAGGGAGACGGGGATGAGCTGGGCTGGTTTTGGGATGCGGTAGGGGGAGGGGAGATTTTGAAACTTGTGAAATCCACATTGATACCATTGGGCTGCAGGGTTCCCAAGTGGAATATGAGTTGCTGTTCCTGCAACCTTCAGGTGGCATCGTTGTGGCACTGCAGGAGGCCCAGGATGGACATGTCGTCTGAGGAATGGGAGGGGGTGTTGAAATGGTTCGCAACTGGGAGGTGCAGTTGTTTATTGCGAACCGAGCGTAGGTGTTCTGCAAAGCGGTCCCCGAGCCTCCGCTTGGTTTCCCCGATGTAGAGGAGGCCACAACGGGTACAGTGAATGCAGTATACCACATTGGCAGATGTGCAGGTGAACATCTGCTTGATGTGGAAAGTCTTCCTGGGGCCTGGGATGGGGGTGAGGGAGGAGGTATGGGGGCAGGTGTAGCACTTCCTGCGGTTGCAGGGAAAAATGCCGGGTGTGGTGGGGCTGGTGGGGAGTGTGGAGCGGACAAGGAAGTCACGGAGAGAGTGGTCCGTCCGGAAAGCAGATAAGGATGGGGAGGGAAAGATGTCTTTGGTGGTGGGATCGGATTGCAGATGGCGGAAGTGTTGGAGAATGATGCGTTGGATCCGGTGGTTGGTGGGGTGGTACGTGAGGATGAGGGGGATTCTGTTTTGGTTGTTATTGCGGGAACGGGGTGTGAGGGATGAGTTGCAGGAAATGTGGGAGACACGGTTGAGGACGTTTTCAACCACTGAGGGGAGGATGTTGCGGTCCTTGAAAAACGAGGACATCTGAGATGTACGGGAGTGGAATGCCTCATCCTGGGAGCAAATGCGGCGGAGGCGAAGGAATTGGGAATAGGGGATGGCATTTTTGCAGGAAGGTGGGTGGGAGGAGGTGTATTCTAGGTAGCTGTGGGAGACGGTGGCCTTGAAATGGATATCGGTTTCTAGATGGTTGCCCGAGATGGAGGCAGAGAGGTCCAGGAAAGAGAGAGAGGTACTAGAGATGGTCCAGGTGAACTTAAGGTTGGGGTGGAAGGTGGTGGTGAAGTGGATGAACTGTTCGAGCTCCTCATGGGAGCACGAGGCGCCGCTGATACAGTCATCAATGTAACGGAGAAAGAGGTGGGTTTAGGGCCAGTGTAGGTACGGAAGAGGGATTGTTCCATGTAACCTACAAAGAGGCAGGCATAGCTTGGGCCCATGCGAATACCCATGGCCACCCCCTTTGTCTGTAGGAAGTGGGAGGAATTGAAAGAGAAGTTGTTGAAGGTGAGGAGTGGTTGGAATTGAAAGAGAAGTTGTTGAGGGTGAGGAGCCCTGGTCGACCCATTGTCTCCGCCTGCTCCTGTCCCACCAAATTTATCTCCACCTATCTTGGCTCTGTTTTCTCCCCCTTGGTCCAGGAACTCCCTACCTACGTCCGTGACACCACCCACGCCCTCCACCTCCTCCAGAACTTCCAATTCCCCGGTCCCCAACACCTCATCTTTACCATGGACATCCAGTCCCTATACACCTGCATTCCCCATACAGATGGCCTAAAGGCCCTCAGCTTCTTCCTGTCCCACAGGCCCGACCAGTCCCCCTCCACTGACACCCTCGTCCGCTTAGCCGAACTCGTCCTCACCCTCAACAACTTCTCTTTCAATTCCTCCCACTTCCTACAGACAAAGGGGGTGGCCATGGGTATTCGCATGGGCCCAAGCTATGCCTGCCTCTTTGTAGGTTACATGGAACAATCCCTCTTCCATACCTACACTGGCCCTAAACCTCTTCCTCCGTTACATTGATGACTGTATTGGCGCCGCCTCGTGCTCCCACGAGGAGCTCGAACAGTTCATCCACTTCACCAACACCTTCCACCCCAACCTTAAGTTCACCTGGACCATCTCTAATACCTCTCTCTCCTTCCTGGACCTCTCTGTCTCCATCTCGGGCAACCACCTAGAAACCGATATCCATTTCAAGCCCACCGACTCCCACAGCTACCTAGAATACACCTCCTCCCACCCACCTTCCTGCAAAAATGCCATCCCCTATTCCCAATTCCTTCGCCTCCGCCGCATTTGCTCCCAGGATGAGGCATTCCACTCCCGTACATCTCAGATGTCCTCGTTTTTCAAGGACCGCAACTTCCCCCCACTCAGTGGTCGAGAACGCCCTCGACCGTATCTCCTGCATTTCCCGCAACTCATCCCTCACACCCCGTCCCCGCAATAACAACCAAAACAGAATCCCCCTTGTCCTCACGTACCACCCCACCAACCTCTGGATCCAACGCATCATCCTCCGACACTTCCACCATCTGCAATCCGGTCCCACCACCAAAGACATCTTTCCCTCCCCACCATTATCTGCTTTCTGGAGGGACCACTCTCTCCGTGACTCCCTGGTCCGCTCCACACTCCCCTCCAGCCCCACCACACCCGGCACTTTTCCCTGCAACTGCAGGAAGTGCTACAGCTGCCCCCATACCTCCTCCCTCACCCCCATCCCAGGCCCCAAGAAGACTTTCCACATCAAGCAGATGTTCACCTGCACGTCTGCCAATGTGGTATACTGCATCCGCTGTACCCGTTGTGGCCTCCTCTACATCGGGGAAACCAAGCAGAGGCTCGGGGACCACTTTGCAGAACACCTACACTCGGTTCGCAATAAACAACTGCACCTCCCAGTCGTGAACCATTTCAACTCCCCCTCCCATTCCTCAGACGACATGTCCATCCTGGGCCTCCTTCAGTGCCACAACGATGCCACCCGAAGATTACAGGAACAGCAACTCATATTCCGCTTGGGAACCCTGCAGCCCAATGGTATCAATGTGGATTTCACAAGCTTCAAAATCTCCCCTCCCCCTACACATCCCAACACCAGCCCAGCTCATCCCCGCCTCCCTAACCTGTTCTTCCTCCCACCTATCCCCTCCTCCCACCTCAAGCCGCACCCCCATCTCCCACCTACTAACCTCATCCCGCCCCCTTGACCTGTCCGTCCTCCCTGGACTGACCTATCCCCTTCCTAACTCCCTACCTACACTCACCTTTACTGGCTCCATCCCCGCCTCTTCGACGTGTCTGCCTCCTCTCTCCCTATTTATTTCAGCACCCCCTTCCCCTCCCCCATTTCTGATGAAGGGTCTGGGCCCGAAACGTCAGCTTTTCTGCTCCTATGATGCTGCTTGGCCTGCTGTGTTCATCCAGCTCTGCACCTTGTTGTCTTAGATCCAGGAATGGCCCAACTTTAACACCCTGTAAGAAGGAAATGTTACATTCATTGCAATATAATGAGAGCTGTGGATTATCATAAGTATATTTGGTGCAACTTAGCTAGAAAGTATGTGCCAGTGCTCAAACCCGACTGTTTGACAAGCAATGACAAAATGTATAAATCCCAGTGAGACCACCAAAATGACGACTTTACCTGACCAGCTTTTCCTCAGGACAAAGGGAGTCCACATCAAATTCTTTCAGTAACAGAAAAACAAGATATGTATTGTAACACACTTAATTTCAACAAGAACAGTGAAAATAAAGGATTCCTCATTTACGTGACTTACACTGTATTCCCTCAAAACCCAAAACATACATGCACTCAATGACCATTAAGACAAACAAAAGAGAAGTGGTTTACTGCATATACAATGAGTGGAAAAAGAATATTTGGCAGGGTAAATAAAGATCAAAAGTCCAAACCACTGGGTGGGAAGTTATTTTTCTCACATCCTTTTGATTTTTGCAATGATATACTGTTCTCATTACAGCGATGGTTGCTGTTTGATTTGATGGTTGATCAGGTGAACTTTGATAGCTTTGTTGTATGGCTTTTAAGGTTATTTGGTTTTACAGTCTTTTTCCCATGAGAGGGTGTGGGGTTGGGGGAGGGGGAGAAAGAGAAATGGATGCTTTCTATCTGTAGGCTCTGCATGTTTCGTCCTCTATGCAGCTCTTAGCATTTACAGCTTTTCAACATGCAGTTATACCAATCAGAGGGCTATTGTCAGGCAGAATCCTTAACTCAAAAGATTCTTGATGCTACTCAGACTCTCAGTCTCCCTCTTCTTGCTTCCAAAAGGCAATAATATATTTTACAGCTGAACAACGTCCAAAACTTGATTTTCAAATTGTTAAACTTTCTTTTCAGCTATTGCAGTCCAACTTCCATTTCAGTTTATAGTTTCAAAAGGGAAAATGAATGTGACCTCAAACATGTTTCTGCATGCAAAAGGAATGTGACTTTGTCTGATTGCTGCTGCTCATTTTTCAGGCCTTCTATTTGGGGATAGAAACTATTTTTGATCATTATTATTATTAGTTAATAGATCTTAACCGGGACAGCGCCTCTAGCAATGGCCTCAGTCAAGTGATGAAGGTGAAATATTTCCTTTGGTTGTAGTGCACTGATTATAGCTGTTTGTACAAGGGACTGGACAGTATTGCACTCCATAATCTGCAAGTTTTCATCACCTCTATTCAGCGATGAAACATGGCCACTGGAGTGATGTGGCAGAAAGCAAACTGCACCCATGGATCTACAAGCCAGCTTTTGAAGCAATGAGAAAAGAGAAACAAATGTTAGAGTATCTGTGATATATTTACATTATATTTCTCTCTTTTGTCAGCTTTATTCTTCAAATCTAGTCAGTCATGATTCAGATTTTGAAGATTTTGGTGGATTTCTTGTTGAAGATATCAAAAAAGAAATTAAAAGAGGAAGCAAGTTGGTAAGATTTCAGTAATTAAGCAAGCATTTATAAATAAAACTAACATTTTTGAACCCTAATACCGTCTATGCTAAATACACTTGTATATTTCAAACCTGCTATAATTCAGCAAGATCTGGAGTGTGATGAGCGGCAAGTAGCGTTCATTTGTAATGTGTGAATCATTGCCTATGCCTGTCCCTAGATGTCTGGAGACAGTGGTGGTGAGCTGTCTTGATGAAGTCATAGAGTCATACAGCACGGAATCAGACCCTTCGGTCCTATACATCCACGCTGACCAGACATCCCAATCTGACCTAGACCCATTACCAGCATTTGGCCCATATCCCTCTAAACCCTTTTTATTCCTATACACATCCAGTTGCCTTTTAAATGTTGTAGTGTGAATGCTAAGCGAGCTGCTTTGCCCTGGATGGTGTCAAGCACTTTGAATTTGTTGGAGCTGCACTGTTTGAGGTACGTGTGGAATATTCTAGCACATTCATGATTTCTGCCTTATAGATGATGGACATGCTTTGGGGAGTCAGGAGGTGAGTGACTTGCTGCAGGTTTCCTACTGTCTGACCTCCTCATGTAGCCAGTATCTGTGTGGCAATTCCAATTTAATTTCTGGTCAATGGTAATCCACAGGATGTTGATAGTGCAGAATTCAATGATGATAGTGCTATGAAATGCCTAGTGAGGGCGAATGGTTAGATTATCTCTTATTGGAGATTACCATTCCCGGGCATTGGCTTGGTGCAAATATTACTTGCCATTTTCAGCCCCAGCCTGTATATTATCCAAATCTTGCTGTATTTAGTTATGGACTGTTACAGTATCTGAGAGGTCACGCACGATGCTGAACTTTGTACAATCTTCAATGAACATTCCCACTTGATGAAGCAGCTGAAGATGCTTCCGTCTTGGACACTACCCTGACGAATCCTGTAGAGATTTCCAAAAGCCGAGATGCCTGACTTCCATCAACTACAACCATTTTCCTCTACGCCAGGTATGCCTCAAACCAGCAGAGAGTTTGCCCCAATACCCCTTGATTCAAGTTTTGTTAGGGCTCCTTGATGCCATACTCCATTAAATGCTGCATTGATATCAAGGGCAGTCACTCTCATGTCCCTCTGAAATTCAGCTGCTTGCCCATGTTTGAACCATGGCTGTAATGAGGTCAGGAGTAGCTATGGGCAACCCAAACTGGGAGTCAATGAGCAGGTTTTTCACTGAGTAGGTGCTGCCTGATAGTACTGTTGATGATACCTTCCATCACTTTACTGAAGATCAAGAGTAGACTATTGGGGCTGTAATTAGCTGGATTGGATTTGTACTGCCTTTTGTTTACGGTATATGCCTGGGCAAATTTCCATATTTGAACAGATCTAGCGCTCAAGACGGTCAATCCACAAGGAGCCGTGGGCCATCAAAAGCAGCAGAATCATACTCCAACATAATCTGCAACCTCATGGCCTGGCATATCCCCCACTCTACCATTACCTTCAAACCAGGAACAGCCCTAGTTCAATGACACACGCAGAAGGGTGTGCACTAGACACATCTAAAAATGAGGCGTCAAGCTGGTGAAGCTACTACACAGTACCACTTGCATGCCAAGCATTAAAAGCAGCAAATGATGGACAGAGCTAAGGGACCCAACAAATAGTGGATCAGATCTAAGCTTTGCAGTCCTGCCACGTCTAGATGTGAAGGGTGGAGGACAATTCACTAATTCACTGGAGTAGGAGGAGACTGTACAGATATCTTCATCCTTATTTATGGAAGAGCCCAGCACATAAGTGCAAAAGGCAAGGCTGAAGTATTTGCAACAATAAAAGTGCCAAATATAATCCAGTGGTTCCCAGCATCACAGATGCCAATCTTCAGCCAATTCAATTCATTCCACATGATATCAAGAAATGGTTGAAGAGCCTGTATACTGCAAAGGCTGTGGACCCTGACAACATTCCAGCAAGAGTCCTGAAGGAGTCCTCCAGAATTTGCCACAACCCTGACCAAGCTGTTCCAGTCCAGGTACAACATAGGCATCTACTCAGCAATGTCAAAAATTGTCCAAATATATCCTGTACAGAAAAAGGAGAACAAATCTAACCTAGCCAACTAACACGCCATCAGTCTACTCTCGATTTATCAGTAAAGTGATGGAAGGTGTAATTAACAGTGCCATTGAGCAGCATTTGCTTAGCAGTTACCTCTTTATTGATATTAAATTTGCGTTCCACCAAGGTTACTCAGCTCCTGACCTCATTGCAGCCTTGATTCAAACATGGGCAAAAGAACTCAATTCGAGAGGTGAGGTGAAAATGATAGTTCCTGATATCAAGGCTATGTTGGATTGAGTGTTGTTTCAAGGAGCTCTAGAAAAACTGGAATAAATGGGAATCAGGAGCAAACTGTTCACTGTTGGAGTCATACCTGGCACATAGGAAGATAGTTGTGTTGCTGGAGGCCATTTCATCTCAGCTTGTTATCATATAGTTAAAACAGCAGCCAGTTTGCTTGTAGCAAGTTTCAACAGACAGCAATGTGATAATGATCAAACTAATGATCAGACTTTTTTTGTTCGCATTGCTGGTTGAAGAATAAACACTGTCCAGGATAGGGAGAACTCCAGCGTTGTTCTTCAGAATACTTCTATCAGATCTTGACATTCACCCGAGGGGACAGAGAGTGTCTTGGTTTATTGTCTCCTTAGAAAGATGGTACATCCGACAGTGCAGCAGTCCTTGATGGAATAGATGTACAGCAACAAGAGACACCCAGAGGTATCCCACTGTGAAAGAAGGAAGAAAGAATTGCAATTATTCTACAACACTTTGCCCAAATTTCTTTACCAGCTTAAAAATACAACTCAGTCAACTTTGAAAAAGAACAAATCAGTTGTTATAAAACGAAAGTTGCTGGAAAAGCTCAGCAGGTCTGGCAGCATGTGTGAAGAGAAATCAGAATTAATGTTTCGGGTCTGGTGACCCATCCTAAGAACTTCTGAGGAAGGGTCACTGGACCTGAAGTGTTAACTCTGATTTCTCTGCACAGATGCTGCCAGACCTACTGGGCTTTTCCAGCAACTTTAGTTTTTGTTTCTGATTTACAGCATCTGCGGTTCTTTCGGTTTTTAAATAATCTGTTATTATCTTTTTGCTCTTGTTACATATAAATTGGCTTCAGTGTTTCCTGCATTTCAACTATTTATACTTTAAAAGTACTTATTGGTTGTAAAACATTTCGGAATGATCTGAAGTCATGAAAGATGGTACAGTGGTAGTATTCCTCCCTCTTAGACCAGGAGACCTGGGTTCAAGTGCCACTTGCTCTAGCAACATCTCTGAACAGGTCGATTAGAAAATATCTAAATAAATCTCTGCAAAAAAACTCTGGGTGACTTAGAATATGTAGAATAGAAACAGGCAATTTAGCATAAACAGTCAACGTGTTTACTGACACCTATATCCTGGACATTATGAAAAATCAAATTCTTTGTCTTGCGCTTTGAAGTTTGCACATCACCAATTTCTGTTTGATTCCTGTTCTTATTTTAGAAGTGCTCTTCATGCAGGAAGAAAGGCGCCACTGTTGGATGTGAAGTGAAAATGTGTAGAAGATCCTATCACTATCCATGTGCTATACATGATGAGGCAGCAGTTATTGAAGACAATACTCAGGGTATTTACAGGTAACTCTGCAATATTTTTTGGTAAAATCTGAAAATTGTGCTATCATTCTTTAACTGAACATAATTTGCACTGGAAATTGGTGAGATGCAAATCAGTTTGTTTTCAGGTTGATCCTTCAGTGAAATAGTAAATTGCCACAACAGCCCAGACTTCAGGAGCCAGTTGGTTTACTTGGGTAGTGGGCTGGTGCAGGTCAGATTGCTTCCAGAAGTATGGGCTTCAGTCGTTGTTCCAGTTGGGGAAGATTCAGAAGCTGCCACCTTCCCTGTGTTGGGAATCATGGTGCTATGGGTTGGACTTGCCTTCAGGCAAAGAACCAAAGAAAAAGTAGCTTTGAGATAGTAAGAACTGCCGATGCTGGAGTCAGAGATAACACAGTGTGGAGCTGGGGGAATGCAGCAGGCCAGGCAGCATCAGAGAAAGGAGAAAATTGACGTTTTGGGTTGGGACCCTTTTTTTCTGAAGAAGGGTCCCAACCTGAAACGTCAACTTTCCTGCTCCTCTGATGGTGCCTGGCCTGCTGTGTTCCTCCAGCTCCACACTTATAGAAGAAATAGCTTTATGCTCTAAACCAATCAAAATATCCTTTCATTCCTTTCTTCCTGTTGTTTATCTAGATTCCCTTAAATGTATCTGTTAGTCGCTTCAACCACCCCACTTTGTAGTGAACTCCACATTGTAACCAGTCTCTAGGTATAGATGTTTCTCGTTAAAAGGACTTTATTCATTCATGGGATGTGGGTGTCTCTGGCTAGGCCAGCATTTATTGCCCTAATGGCCCAGAGGCCAGGTGAGAGTCAACCGTATTGCTGTGAAGTCTGCAGTCACATGTAGGCCGGGCCAGGTGAGAATGACAGATTTCCTTCCCTAAAGGACATTAGTGAACGAGGTAGGCTTTTCTGACAATCGACAGTACTTTTGTGGTCATTATTAGATCCTTAATTTCAGATTCTTTATTGAATTCAAATTCTACCATCTGCCATGGAGGGATTTGAATCTGTGTCCCCAGAGCATTAGCTGAGTCTCTGGATTAATAGTCTACTGATAATACCACCAGGCCATTACCTCCCCAGGTTCCTTGATGCATTTAAGATTAACTAACTTTAGTTTTGGTCCTTTGTTCTGATATTGTCCACAGAAAGGATCATTGTACGAGAACAGTTAAGTTCAACTTGCTGTAACTCAACTGTTGAAAGAAAGGGATTTGCATTTGAATGGCACTTTTCATAACCCCAGGACATACAAAGAGCTTTGCAGCCAGTGAAATTGTGTTTTTTAAAGGGTAGTATTGTTGGAATATGGAGAATTAAGTAGCTAATTTGTCCACAGCCAGCATTGAGAGAATGAGTTGATAATTTATTTTAACTCTGTTGGTTGAGGTGTAAGTATTATCAGTATTTATTTAAGTAAGTCTTGGGATCTTCGCATTTATTACTTTTGAGGAAGGAAAAAAGCCCTTCGGCCCATTGAGTCTGCACCGGATTATCTGGCATTTGTATGTCATGAATGGTAGTTTCTACCTTGCAGCCCAAGCCTTGATGTTGTCCAGGCCCACAGGTTGTCCAGATCTAATGGAACTTTAAACAAGGATATTGGAGCTTATACTGTCCTGGGAATTTATACCTCAACCAATAACAATAAAAAAGGCAATCTTGTCATTCTCACTGTTGTTTGTGGGAGTTTGCTGTGTACAAATTGGCTTCTGTTTTTATAGCATTCCAGCAATGATTAATTCATTTCACAAATGTATCCTAACAGCTTGAAAAAAAGACTGCTTCATGCTCATTTCATTGTTAGCAATCAAAGCAACCAGAATACCAGGATTATAGAATGGTTTAGAAAAAATGGAAACGTGGAAGTAAAACACAAAAGACTAAATAAAATATTTGTGAAGTTGGGTCAGGTCAATTTACTTCAAGAATTCAAAGGGTAGTTGTCATCCAGGAGTACCTTGTTTTCAATTTGGAGTGGAGACTGAGCTGAGTCTATGAATTTGGCTCTGAGTGACCAATGTTATTTGGAGGTACAATTGAGCAAGATAAACATTTGTCCCTACTAAAAACAGAAACCGTCCAGAGCATTTCACATGGTGACCTGTATCTTGGTGCACTGATAAAAGTAAATATTTCCTTTCCAAATCAACTAAATAGAACACTGACACAATTGATTAAACAGGCACTAAATATTTAACCAACTAAGCATTTAAAGAAAGTAAGCAGTTCACTCAGAATGAAAGGCTGCTTGACGTTCAGTCTGGGTCACAAATTCCCAAGCAACCTATATTTTTTGCTGATATTATGATACTAGCTGATGGTAATACTGGACAAATGAGATCCCAAAATGAAACCTGGCTTGCTAGAATGCAAATTTAATTGTTGCAATTAGTTGCCATGGTGGTTAAAAATATTCAGACAAAACTCAGAAGTTGCTTAACAAAAGAACACAGTTGTATTACACCAAAGAAAACAAACAAGCAAAACTGCATACATAGTTTAGAAAGATCTTAACATAGGTTGAAACTTTGTTTTACTGTTTATTTCCCAGCAATGTCTTTTAACAGATTCTCGATCCCACAGAAATATCACTCCTATCTCAACTGTTTTAACTGTTTTCATGCTTAAGTGACTTTTTCCAGTTCTTTTCCTTAGCCTGCTGAGACAATTTTGTGACTTCTTCTGAATTCTGCTGATCCACCTTGCAGTTCTGATGGTCTGAACTTCTCTCCAGTTCTGACAAATTGAAAATTTCTATACAAAATCATGCAACCTGGAGATTTCACAAACTAAAGCCCTTCTGCTAGAATGGAAATAGTTCCCCTGACTTGAAGCTTCTGTTTCTTCTGTATTGAAGTCAAATCTAAACCAGTGGCCTCTGTTTACTCTGACTATAATAGACTCATAGTGTAAACATTCTCTGTCAGTAAATGCCACATTTACCTTGCAAAGTACTTGACTGAATCATGTACCTTCTTGGAAATGATGCTTTTAGGTCACTATTCCAAATGATCTTCTGACATTTTTAAGTAAACTCATTATCATCACAGAATTGAAACCAAAATCCATCTGCCTTTGCCTTAAAAAAAATCCAAATTCCTGAATGATGATACCTGTCCATCATTCTGATTTGATTTGAGCTTCATCAGATCATCATTGATTACTACTTGACACATCTGTTGTAATTTCTGCTTGTCCATTGTTTAAAGAAGAAAACAAAAATTAACCAGTCCAGATTTCCTGTCATTTATTCTGAGAAGTGCGGCAGAGCTACATTGCTTTTTCTACAAGTACATTGACATCTGGTGCCAGATAGCATTAAAGGTCATTGTCAGCCTCATTTTTTACAATCTTACCATGTTAAAACATAAACAGGACTTCTGTGAAATCTAAAGGAAGTTTGCTTGGTTAAGGTAGAAACTCTCAGCTGAGATGGAATGATTGAATCTTGGGAAGACCTTTGCCTAAATTAGTGTGTCACATCAACTCAAATTGACATTTAGTGCCTGTCCCTATTTTCCCCTGAAAATTCTGGCGGTGTGCTGCCCACTTGAAGCACTGCAAACCACATGTGCTTATACTCATGGTGCTGTTAGGATGAGAGTTCTAGGATTTGGACCCAGCAACAGTGAAGGAAGCCCTCTTGTAGTGCAGTGGTAGTATCCCTACCCCTAGACTGGGAAGTTCGAGTTGAAGTCCCATCTGCTCCAGAGTTGTGTAAGAACATCGCTGAACAAGTCGATTAGAAAATAGGTTAAATAAGGGTGGCACAATGGCTCAATGGTTAGCACTGCTGCCTCGCAGCATCAGAGACCTGGGTTCAATTCCACTTTCAGGTGACTGTGTGGAGTTTGCACATTCTCCCCTTGTCTGCATGGGTTTTTTCCAGGTATTCCGGTTTCCTCCCACAGTCCAAAGATGTGCAGGTTAGGTGGATTGGCCATGCTAAATTGCCCATAACATCCAGGGATGTACAGGGTCAGTGGATTAGCCACGGGAAATGCAGGGTTACAGGGATAGGGTAGATAGGTTAGTCTGGGTGGGTTGCTCTTCAGAGGGTTGGTGTGGACTTGATGAGCCGAATGACCTACTTCCACGCTTTAGGGATGCTGTGATTCGATGAAAAGGAATGGCAATATAGTTCCAAGTCAACATGATCAGTGGCTTGGTGGAGAAGTTGAAAGTGCTGATGCTCCAATGCATCTGCTGCTGTTGGTCTTTAATGTAATGAAACATACCAAGGTACTTAATAGTTATAAAAGATACAATAAAACAAAATATAACAGCAAGCCTCATATTCGGGCTGATGACTAAAAGCCTTGTCAATGAGTAGTTTTGAAGGCATTTCTTAAAGTTGGAAAAAGAGGCAGAAATTTCCAGATACAGAGCATTAAACAAAAAAAAGTTGGCACGTGTAATAATTGTGAGGGATTCCAGTCGTATTATAGCCTGGACTAATCAAATTGGCAAGGGTAGTCCAGATGATGGATTTGTAGAATATTTTTGTGACAGTTTCCTAGAGTGCTGTGTTGTGTAACTAACAAGGAATAAAGCTATTTTATGTCAAACATTTCGTAATGAGACAGGGTTAATAGGTAATCTCATAGTAAAAGTTGTCGGGTACTGGTAATCATAATCTAGTTGAATTCCAGGTTAATTTTGAAAATGGCGTGCTCCAATCGTAAACAAGAATCTTAAACAAAGCCAGCTATGAGTAAGGAGTGTGGAGAACTGGCCACAGTTATTACATAAATAGAGTAAAAGATAAAGTCATAAATAAACAGTGGGAGTAACTTCAGGAACAATTTCAAAATATCCATCGAACATGAATTCCATTGAAAAACAAAATTTCAGTAAGAATTACCATCCTTGGTTTACTCAAGAAGTCAATTAGATTTAAAGCAGATTTATTAGATTCCAAAGAATAGTGGAAAGTTTTATAACTGAGGCTGGAGGAGTGTATCATTGTTCTAGACTCACTGAAATAAAATAAAAATACTTCTCCAGTTACCAAGATAAGCAGTTAAGTATGACAAGATTTATCAGCCAAGGTTCTTAACAAACACAAAATGTGTTTATTATCTAAACAAAACTTAGTCACTAAGGAAGCAATAACTAGTTAATATAAGCAGTCAGTAATGTAGCAGTATTAATGTTTAACCCTCTAAATATCCACATGCACACACACAAACACATACATACACACACACTCTTTCTCTCACTTCAGGAAAAGGTAAAAGCAAAGCACATTTCTCTGCAGAGATCAGTTTACTGAATGAAAGCATTAGCCAATGCGTTATTCTTGAAAGCAAAAGAGAAAGGTGTAGACTGTTTTGATGTCTGTTGTTGTGATGTCCTGGCACGTGTGGTCATCACTGATCATGCACAATTGTCTCTTGCAAGTCTTGGTGACAGAAGTACAATTTTGGGGTGTTTAGTCAATCACCCCTTCAAAAGAGCAAATACGTTTCACTCTGAACTCAATAAGAGGGCTTTCCTTTCAGAAATGAGAGATTAGCTGGCATGTCCTGAATTTTGTATTCTTGTGTCTACTAGAGAATATTCCTTTATTCCTTGATGGGATGAGGGCATTGCTGGCTAGGCAGTATTTATTGCCCATCCCTAATTGCCCAGAGGGCAATTCAGAGTCAACCACATTGCTGTTTCCTGCCCTAAAGGACCTAATTGAGCCAGATAGGCTTTTCCTGACAATCAGTAATGAATTCATGGTCATCATTAGATTCTTAATTCCAGATTTTTACTGAATTCAAATTCCACCATCTGCCATGGTGGGATTGGAACCTGGGCCTCCAGAACATTATCTGGGTCTCTGGATTAACAGTCCAGTGATAATACCTCTAGGCCATCACCTCCCCGAAAGCTAGAGGCATAGGCAGCTGAAGGCATGGCTACCAATGGTGGCAGAATTACAGTATTTTAATCACGAGGCCAAAATTTAAGGTTACGGGTATCTTAGAGGATTGGGGGAGCTGAAGAAGATTTAAAGGAATAAGGAAGGACAAGGCCATTAGCAACTTGAAAAGTAGGATAAGACTTTTAAAATCAACATCTAGTTTGACTGGATCCACTGTCCATCAGTGAACGATTGGGATGTAGGAGCATAACTTGCTGCACCAAGGTTGTTGACAAACTGGTTAAAACTCACGATGTTGTCGGGAGAGGAATGGATTTGATTGCTATGGAATGTAGTTTGGAATGGGGAGCAAAAACAATACTTCAGGTCTTCCGAGTGTTTGATTGGAGGAAATGTTTGCTCACCCAGTGATATAGGATAAACAGTGTGATAAATTAGCAATTCTGGAGGTTCAAGAGAGGTAATGCTGAGGTAGGGCTGGATGTCATCAATGTTCACGTAAAAATTAGCACTCTCCCGAGGTGAAGGAATTCCTGCCTTTGGAAGGTACCGTCAAAGGAGCCTTGGTAGCTTGCTGCTGTGCATTTTTAGATGGTACGGATTGCTGCTATTTGGTATTCTGGTGGGGGGAGTGCTTGTTTAAGATGGTGGTATCAGTTTCCCATCAAGGTCTGTTTTGTCCTAGGTGATGTTGAGCTTCTTGACTTTTGTTGCAATTGCAGTACTGACTTAGGAAGTGGTTCAGTTGATTCTTGCTGGAAATGTTCATTACCTTGCGTTTGTGTGGGATGAATTTTCTTTGTCACTTTTTCAGTTTGAGCCCAACTTTGTTCAGCTCTTGCTGCCTGCAGGCATGAATACTTCGTTATCTGACGAAATGTTTTTCTCTGAGGGAACTGGTCCCATATCAACCCTAACTACAGCTATGAAATTTAAAATTACCCATGTTCCATTGTTCCAATGTTTCATTGACTCCACTTTAAAAGAACACAGCGGACCAACAAGCCAACAACCTCCCAACTTGGACACCCTCTTTCAGCAAGCACCTGAGTATTGCTACTGGTGTTCTGTGACTGTAAAATAATTCACTAACAACCAGTTTCTTACTTCCTGCAGCTTGCCAGTTTGATAGAAATGAAATCACAGGCCCAATGCTTGACTTTCCTCAAGCCTTTCTATTCAAACACAGGGATTAACCCAAATACATGGAAGGTTCCTGCAGTGCCAATTGTAGTCACAAGCTTTTTCCAGGATTAGAACTGACTTGGATATTTATTAGTCAGTAATGTTCCCAAAAAGAGAAATTGATTCAATGTCTTAAAGAATTACAAATCTAAATTTTGTTATTGTTATAATTTGCTGTGCCATCTCCTTGTCCCAACCTAACTTTTCTGTGGCAATGGCTTAAAATATAAACAGTTCTGTGTCTATAAATGCTCAAACCTGGGGGATTTAAACTGATTCTCTCTCGTACAATTCATCAACCATTTTTCCCATTATAAAGTATAACTTCCTATTTCACAATGCCTCCCCCAATGCTTTAGAAATTCTAGACTTCACAACACAAGCCTTTCAATTACCCAGTAACATACCACTATTCTGTTGATCATATTTTACTGCCACATCAACAATAACAGGGAATAAGACCTGGAAATTTAACTTGGGTTGATCTGTTTCTTCACCATGTTAGATGGCCTACCCTTTGCCACGATAACTCCTCTTCCAACTAGTCATTAGGAAGCCTGCAGTGATGGCTTAAAATGATGTCCTGTTGCTTACTTCTACACTGGACTTCCCCTCCACTGAAAAACTGGTAGAGATTGGGAAATGTTCACTGACTGTAAATCAAGTATGCTGGAGACCCAACCCAACACCATTAAAGCATTTTTTGTCAAAGGCATGATTGTTACCATTGTGCTGTGTTATGATCTCCGATAATAATAATACTGATACAAGTCAGTTTCCAGAGTGAAATCTGGTTTACCATTTGGTAACAATAGTGGACTGTCACTGATATATTCCCATGAGTCTGCCAGTGTACTTTTAATTAACAAAAGGACATAAGTTTATTGTTTCCCAAAAATATCCTTTACAGATGCTCAGTCCCAGTGAGGTATCACTTCTATCTTCACTCTTCAATTTCTTACTCAAACGAAGAAGTCACGAGCATTTCCTTTCACTGACTTTCATCACAGTCGCCAGATGTGATTGTCTCCATCTTTCCCTGAGGCACACGGGCTAACTCACTAACTTTTCTCTGACTTTGACTCCTTTGAGGCTGCTGCTGATGCAGATCTTTTCTTTTGAACAGAATCTGCTTCTGGCTTCTCTCCTCTCTTGTAAGGTTGCCAAAGCTCAACTTAGTCAAAATTTCAGCCATTATCACACCAGGTAACTTATCTAGTTGTTTAGCTTAAGTCAAGTGATTGTTTTGAAATACTATTTGACCCACTGTTTAAAAAAATGTTTCTGATGGTTTTCAAAACAAAACCAAATCATCTTCACTGACCTCAAAATCAAAATTTCTCTATTTAATAATCCATGTTTCCAAATAATAGGAATATATTATAGATCTTCATCATGGCTATGAGAATTAATATTTATTTGATTGTTACTTCTTGCAGTTTTTTTTCAACCCTGATTTGTGTTCTATGTTCTCTGCTTTTGCTTTAGAATTTATTGTAAAGCGCATAAAAAAGCTATGGAAAATCCATCACTCTATGGAAACTCCCACAGTAAGTTGATTTGTTGCACATCATTAGCACCACTTATTTTTACTCATTGTCAAGAACCTGGACTGCAAGGAGTATCAGCAAATGGTGATAGGAATGCCATAAATTCTTTACAGTTACTCTATTGCCAGGAAATCAAGACTAGGCCATTAAGCCATTTGAAGCTGTTGCACAACTGAGTAAGATCACAACTGATCTTTGACCTAACATTTTTGCCCTATACACGTTAATACTTCTGATTAACAAAAGGCGGTTCTGACTCAGGAGAAGAAGATCAGTCTGGATTCCCCATCAAGATTTCTGGCTTTCATGCCTCAATGGAACTTCTCAATTGCAAATACTGGCTGAGGCCAAGACCAATCCGGGTAGAGATACCACCATTGGTTAAATTGTTAGTTAACCGTCACTCTCATCTGATGAACACCCCTGAGCATGATTTATATTGGGACCAATTCTCCAAGATAATTATTGTAGTATTCACATTGGATTTGGCAGTTAGGATACTGATAGTGAGCGGATTAAACTTTATATCAGCATACATATCACAATATTTTATTAGATCATAGTATAATTATTGATGAGGAAGGCCCTTCGCCCCATTTTAGTCTATGCTGGATGTTTGAGTGAGCTCTTGAATTAGTTTCACGTTCTACCCTTTTTCTGTAACTTTTTTTTTCTGAATCACAAAATTGTTATAATTCAGAATGAGGTCATTCAGCCTGTTGTGCCTGCAGCAATGAATCAGCAATCTGACTTACCACCGTTCTCCCACCCTTTTCCTGTAAGCCTGCCAATTTTTGTTCTACTCAAATAATCATGCATTGCCCTTTTGAATGCCTCAATCGAATTTGCCTCCACCACACTTCTAGGTCATGAATTGTGACCCTAACTACGAGCTGTGTGAAAAATGTTCACTTTTATTGCATTTGCTTCTTTTCTAAATTAGTTTAAATCTGCATCCTCTAATTCTTGATCCTTTATATATTCTTTACATCTCCTCTGTGCAGACTCTTACCTTTCTATCTGTCTTGCTCTTTGCTTCCCCCCTCGAGCCCAGTCTAAAAAAACCTCTTAGAGACAGTAAGGACTGCAGATGGAAGCCAGAGTCAATAGATGTGAAGCTGGAAAAGCACAACAGGTCAGACAGTATCTGAGGAGCAGGAAAATCAACTTTTCGGGCCGAAACCCTTCGTCAGGACTGGGGAGGGGGAGGGGAGCCCAAAAATAAATAGAGGCGGGGCAGGTAGGGCTGGGAAGGGTAGGTGAGATGGTGATAAGTAGATGCAGGTAGGGGGTTATTGTGATTGGTCAGTGGCAAGGGTGGAGCGGATAGGTGAGTAGGAAGATGGAGAGGTAAGGTTAAGGCAGGGAGGTGAGGAGGGGGAGGGCTGGACGTGGGATAAGGCTGGGGATGGAGAGATTTTGAAGCTGGTGAAGTCAATATTGAGGCCATTGGGCTGTAAGCTCCCAAGGCTAAATATCAGGTGTTGTTTATGTTTGGCCTCACTCTGACAGTGGAGGAGGCCAAGGATGGACGTGTCGCCATGGGAGTGGGAGAGGGAAGTAAAATGGATGGCAACCGGAAGGTCTGGTTGGTTGGTGCATGCAGAGAGCAGATACTCTGTGAACTGGTCCCCTCCCATCCCACCCTCAAATTCACCTGGACCATTTCTGACACATCCCTCCCCTTCCTGGACCTCTCTGTCTCCGTCTCCGGAAACCGACTCACCACTGACATCCATTTCAAACCCACTGACTCCCACAACTACCTCGACTACACCTCCTTTCACCCATCCTCCTGCTATCCCATACCCTCAATTCCTCCACATCTGCTCCCAGGATGAGGTGTTTTACTCCAGGACATCCCAGATATCCTCCGACTTTAGGGGCTGGAATTTCCCCTCCTTTGTAATTAAGGATGCCCTCAACTACATGTCTTCCATTTCCCACACTTCTGCCCTCAAAGCCCCTCCCACCAACAACAATAAGAATAGAGTCCCCCTAGTCCTCACGTACCACCCTACCAACCTCCGAATCCAACACATCATCCTCTGACATTTCCGCCAACTACAAGCAGACCCCATCACCAAAAAGATATTTCCTTCCCACCCCTGGCCGCTTTCCGCAGGGACCATTCACTCAGTGACTCCCTTGTCAACTCCACACTCCCCACCTACCCCTCCACCACACCTGGTACCTTTCCCTGCAACTGCAGGATGTGTAATACCTGCCCCCACACCTCCCCTGTCACCTCCATTCAAGGCCCGAAACAATCCTCCCAGATCCAGCAGAGATTCACCTGCACTTCATCCAACTTGATCTATTGTATCCATTGCTCCCGACGTGGTCTCCTGTATATCGGGGAGACCAAACGCAGACTCGGGGTCTGGTTCGAGGAGCACCTGTGCTGTGCATTCACCAACCAACCCAACTTTCTGGTTGCACCCATTTTAATGCCCCCTCCATCTCCCCTGGTGACTTATCCATCCTTGGCCTCCTCTACTGTCAGTGTGAGACCAAATGTAAACTGCAGGAACAGCACCTGATGTTTCACCTTGGGACCTTCCAGCCCAATGGCCTCAACATTGACTTTACCAGCTTCAAAATCCCTCCACCCCCAGCAGCATCCTCCCATGTTCAGCCCTCCGCCTCCTCCTCACCTCCCTGACCTGACCTAAGGGTCCAGACCGGAAACATCGACTTTCCTGCTCCTCCAATGCTGACCATCTGTGATTCTCCAGCTCCACATTTTATCAACTCTGACTTCCAGCATTCGCAGTCCTTACTATGTCCCTGTCCATAGAACATAGAACATAGAACATTACAGCGCAGTACAGGCCCTTCGGCCCTCGATGTTGCACCGACCTGTGAAACCAATCTGAAGCCCATCTAACCTAAACTATTCCATTATCATCCATATGTTTATCCAATGACCATTTAAATGCCCTTAACGTTGGCGAGTCTACTACTTTTGCAGGCAGGGCATTCCACGCCTTTACTACTCTCTGAGTAAAGAACCTACCTCTGACATCTGTCCTATATCTATCACCCCTCAATTTAAAGCTAGGTCCCCTCGTGCTAGCCATCACCATCCGAGGAAAAAGGCTCCCACTGTCCACCCTATCTAATCCTCTGATCATCTTGTATGTCTCTATCAAGTCACCTCTTAACCTTCTTCTCTCTAACAAAAACAGCCTCAAGACCCTCAACCTTTCCTCATAAGACCTTCCCTCCATACCAGGCAACATCCTGGTAAATCTCCTCTGCACCCTTTCCAGTGCTTCCACATCCTTCCTATAATGCGGTGACCAGAACTGTACGCAATACTCCAAGTGCGGCCGCACCAGAGTTTCGTACAGCTGCAACATGACCTCATGGCTCCGAAACTCAATCCCTCTACCAATAAAACCTAACATACCGTACGCCTTCTTAACAACGCTATCAACCTGGGTGGCAACTTTCAGTGATCTATGCACATGGACACCGAATCCATCTTCCCACTCACCTATCCCTTCAACCCTGACCAATCTCAATAACCCCCTACCTGCATCCACCTATCACCATCACACCAACCTTTCCTCCCAGCCCCACCCCCTCCCTCTATTTACTTCTGGGCTCCCCTCCCCTCTCCCAGTCCTGACAAAGGGTTTTGGCCTGAAACATTGATTTTCCCGCTCCTAGGATGCTGTCTGACCTGCTGTGCTTTTCCAGTTTCACATCTAAAAAGCCTGTTAGACAGGTTCAGCGTAACTTCCTCGCTTTTGTTAATATTAATTGCTGTCTCCATTTGACTGATGTACATTCCTGCTCCTGCACACACTTGAGAATGCTACCTTTATGTTATTGTCTAATTTATGCTACTATTAATTCAGTTGCTCCATGTTCTTCTACCAAAGTGTATCACCTTGCACTTCTCTACACTGAACGCAATCTGCTGTCCATTGACTTGTCAATGTCCTTGCGAAGCTGTACACTCCTCCTCACACTTTACAATACTTCCAAATTTGTGTCCTCTGCAAGCTTGGAAATTGCCCCCGCACGCTAAGAACTAAATAATTAATATAAATCAGGAAACGCAACAGTCCCAGTATTAAGCATTGAGAAACCTTGCTACACATTTTCCTCCAACCTGAAAATATCCATTAACCACTACTTTCTGTGTCCTCTTACTCAGCCAATTTTATACCCACGTTGGTTGTGTCCCTTTTATTCCATGCTCTCTCCTTTCCATTACAGGTCTGTAATGTGGCACTATCTCAAATGCCTTTTGGAAGTTTGTGAACACCTCATAAGCTACATTCCCCTCATCAACTCTCTTTGCTACCCCTTCAAAAAATCTCCAAGTTGTTTAAACTTGATTTGTTCTTCTCCTTGGTCCATCCTAATTCTCGTCAGTTGACCCACATTTAACCATGTGACCATTACTTCTTTCCCAAGTTATTGGTTCTAGAACCACCACAAAAGTTAAACTGAGTGGTCTGTGATTGCTGGGCTTATTCTTGCACGCTGTTTTGAATAAGGTTGAATGTTTGCAATTCTTCCGTTCTTTAGCACCACACTCAAAGCTAAGGAATACTGAAAAATTATGGTCAATGTTCATGTAATTTCTACTCTTACTTCCTTCAGTAACTTTGGATGCATCTTTTCTGATCTTGGTGCTTTAATGACTTTAGATACTGACATCAGGTCCCACCTCCCCATCAATTTTAAACCCTTCAAGTGAATTTCCTCATCTATCACCTCAGCCTGTGTAACATCTTCTTCCTGAGTAAATACAGATGCAAAATATTCATTTAATACCTCAGCTTTCATGTCTAAGTCCCTTTATTCCTATTTAATCAGTCGTACTCTTCTTTTTACTATTTATGTGTTTGTAAAAGACTTTTGTCTTCCCTTTTATGTTTGTTTTCAGTCTCTTTTCATAATCCCTCTTTGCTTCTCTTATTTGCTTTTTTACCTCCCTTCTGAATCTGCTGTATCAACTTGGTTTCAACTGTATTCATTACATGACATGTGGTGTAAGCACAGTCTTTCTTCAGCTTAACTTCTATCCCCTCTATCATTCAGGGAGCTCTGAATTTCTTCACCCTACCTTTCCCATTTGAGGGAGTATACCCTTAATGTGCCCAGCCCATCTCTTCTTGGAAGGTTACCCATTGTTCAGCCACAATTTTTTTCCCACCAAACTTTGACTCCATTATTCATCCAGCTCTGTTCTTATTCCATTGAAGTCAGTTTTCCCCTCGATAATTGTTCTTACTCAGGTTGTTCAGTCTTCTTTTCCACTGTCATCCTAAACCTTATGATAGAATGATCACTGCGCCCTAAATTACACTTGATCTATTTAGCTAAATTTATTTGCAAGAACTGCATCTTGCAGTGCCTCTTTTCTTGATGGACTGGACACGTAACTTCAGAAAATTTTCCTAAAAACTGTGCCCTTAGCACTGCCATTATCTCAGTGCAGGTAGTTATAGTTCCCCATTATAACTACTTTATAACGCTTGCATCACTCTGCATTTTTCTCGTAGAATTGTTCCTCTACATCCATACCACTAGTTGGTGATCTTGACAGCAATGTGACTGCATTGTTCCTTTGTTCTCATCAAAATGATTCTGACTTTGAACCCTCTGACACATAGTCTTTCTCCAGCACTGCAGTACTGACTTTAACCAATACTGTCACCCTTTCTCTATTTCCTTTCTTACCTTTCCTGAACATGCTATATCCAGGAATATTTAATACTCAGTCCTATTCTTCCTTGTGACAGATCTTTATTATATCAACATAACAACTGCATGTGGCACTTCAAGCTTGTAGCTCACCAATCTTATTCACTATACTTCATGCATTCACGTACATGCCTGTAACCCTGATTTAGAATGTTTATTTATTCTGACTTCACCTATTAACTTATTAACCTATTAACTTATTATTCTTATATCCCTACTGATTTATTTTAAATCTTCTGCAACATGACTGGCAAAATGTCACACAGGAAACTCAGTCCCAGATCTGTTCAGGTTCCCAGATCTGGCAAGTACAGGAAACACCAATTTTCACCATGATCCTCTCCCCCTCCTCCAGAATTTACCTTTTTTTCAGTTTATGCAATTTGAATCCCAGTCCTCACTCATGGAAACAGTTTCTCCTTGCTTTCTGTTTCAAAACCCTTTATCTTTTTGAACAGCTCTATTAAATATACCCTTGACCTTCTCTACTCCGAGGAGATCAATTCCAGCTTCTCCAGTCTCTCCATGTAACTAAAGCCCCTTATTCCTGGTACCATTCCAGGAAATCTCTCCTGTACTCTCTTGAAGGTGTTAACAGTTCCTCAAGCAGGGCATCCAATATTTTACACACTGCTTCATCTGGTGTCAACCAGAATTGTATAAATGTTTGACATCTAATTCTTGCTTTTGTACTCTTTGCCTTATGGAACATATACAACAATACAGCACAGGAACAACCTCTTCAGCCCTCCATGTCTACATCAACTGTGATGCCATTCTAATTCCATCTGTTTTACTCAGAAAATCACTAATCAATTTTTAGCAGCTTTATCAGCTTACCCTGCCTCTTTCAAAGTGTGATATATCACCCCATGGCAGCATTTAATAGTTTATTAACTAATTCCATGAATTAGGCCTCCACTACTCTACATGTGTTGATCACTGTGTGAAGAGTTGATGGACAGTAGCCTCATTTTTTGCCTTTTAAGAAAGTTACTATATAACTGTGTATTTTTATTCTTTTTAAAATACTTTATGTGTTATCTTGGGGCTGGGAGGCGGTGGGGTTTTCAAGAAACTGTAAATACCAAAGTAAATGAAACCAGTGTATACTGGGATAAAATTACAGCCCAAAAATAATAAACCACAAAGTAACATTTTACGTACTGTTTACAAATGTTTTAAATAGATTTTAGTATACCAGCAGTAGTATTGCAATTCATCTCCTGTAAAAGCAAATATAGTTTGTTAAAATCTATGGTAAATATGTACTTTATTATTCGTTACTGATCAGGCAAAGAAATAATTTGCGTTTTAGTAGCACTGTATACAGCCTCAAATGTGGTCACTGCTGTAATATGGGAGGTGTGGCAATCAATTAGTGTACAAGGTCATGCAAGCAGAAGTGTGACTATCGACAGATGATCTATTTCACTGGTAAGTGATAAATATTGTTAATGACATTGGGAAGACTTTTCTTGCCCACCAAATAGTGCCATGAGATATTGTATATCCATCTAAGAGGAAAGATAGAACCATTGTTTAATGTCTCATTTGAGGGATTAACACATCCAGTGCTGCAGCAGTCCCTCAGTACTGCACCTAGCCTATGCTTTGTATTCAAATCTTTCAAATGGAACTGGGATCCATAACTTTCTGACTCAGGCAAAAGTGCTACCATTGGGAGTAAATCTGATATCCATTCATAATTCAAAGCTATGGTCTGCTTTCAATTCAGAATTAGTTGTCTTGTGATGTTGGTTGTTTCAATTTTTTTTGACATTCATTTTAATTCTGTTGATGATTGAAGTTACTGAATAGCAACTTTGAATTATTAAAACTAAACTGAATTCTCCTTAACTTTATAACTCTTACAAGGTAATAATGCTGGCAGTGATACAGATGATGACATTGTTACTGTTGAGGAGAATAATCTTCCTGCAGCCTCTAATCACAGGAAATCTCAACCAGGACCATCAGTAAGTAGATATACAACATTTACATCTTTCCTTCATTTGTCCTTTGTGAGTTGTTCAGTAATTAATACTTTGGTAGATTACAGTAAGTTTGGGGAAATTCAATTAATAGAGTGATGTCAACAAATAGAGTGTTTTGTGGTAGTGGTTGAAGTATAAATCACAGTATACTTTGAGATAAAATTGGATCAGTATTTAAAGACATAGAAACAGTAATATGGGGATAGAGTGAGGTTAATGTAAATTATTTTAAGTTACTCAGGCAAAGTGCTAGGGCAGATTCAGTGGGCTGTGTGATTTCAGTCTGTTCTGTAAACTTGAATGAAGTATTTGAAGTAACAACAGGTAGTCAGTAGCACAGATAATTTTCACTCCCTCATAATAGAATCATTGTTAGTGCCTACTGTCTTTTTTGCAGCGGGAACTGGAGAAGATAGCACAGAATGTAGATAGTGCAGTATTTGTAGGAAATCACCAAGATCCAAACTCAACATCTTGGCCACGGTGGAGGAATAAAATGATGAGGTTTAGAATTAACTTAGAGGCTGTGTCTGGTATGTCTTGTCTGGTCCATGACAGTCTCGAGTAACAATCAACTCTGTACACCACTAGTGGTGGTGACAATTACAATTACCTTTGACTGTTAAGCACATGGACCTTTCAGACACCTGCAGTGAGCTTCACAGTGGTCTGTTACTGTGAGACTCACTGTTGTATTGTGCAATGCTCACGTCATGTATACTCTGGTGCAAGCTCTGATCCTCCATTGTCTCCATTTGGTACCTTTCTCTAATCTGACGTTGCACTTCTTATAAATATGTAAATTTAAAAAGATTAAACAAGAAAAATACCTGTCATTTTAATTACAATTCTGAATGAGATAATTGCAATAGTGAATAAAGCATTTTCCATTTAAGATGCATAAAGCAATACAGTTTACTTATCTTTCATACCCTTGATCTTGATGACTTTATCCAGTTTCAATTTTTTATATTTCCGATTCTACAAGACGAATGATAATTGGAGAACAACTACTGTGCGAAAGAGGTAAGTGATGTTATGTCATGATAAACTGTCCGATGTTCCTCCATCAAACTTAAAATGATTTAATGTACCTAGTTCAAAACTGGTGTAGATGATTGCTGCATTTTACTATAGTTCCATTACATTTCCAGAAGGATAAAAGCAGTTCATTCAGGAAGCATTGAAGGTTACATTTAGATGGAAGTATTATTTTGTTATTACATCATAAATGAAAGGTGAATTCTCTTGATTTCCAGAACTGACTACTGCATAGCAGTATTATGCACATTTTCCATACTTCCCCCTATTATCACATGTATAAGACCATAAGAAACAGTAACAGGAGGAGGCCAATTGGTTCCTTGAGCCTACTCCTCCATTCAATAGGATCATAATTGATCCAACATTCCTCATGCCCACTTTCCTGCCTTTTACCTGTAACTATGATTCCGCTCGTGATCAAGAATCCATCTATCTCGGCTTTAAATACACACAAGGACCCTGCCCGCACAGTTCTCTGTGGTTAGGAGTGGCAAAGACTCATAACTCATTGAGAGAAGAAATTCTTCCTCATCTCAGTCTTAAATTAGCACCCATTTATTCTGAGACTATGCCCTCTGCTCTTTGACTTTCCCATGTGTGAAACATCCTCTCAACCTTTACCCTGTCAAGCTCCTTAGGAATCCTATTTCATTCAATATCATTCACCTCTCATTCTTCTAAACTCCAGTGAGTAGAGTCTCAACCTGTTAAGCCTTTGTTCGTAAGACAATCCCTCCAATACCTGGGATCACTCTAGTGAACCTTCCAATGTCAGCATATATTGATGTTACTTTTGCACAGTGCATAGTTGTTCTTCATGCTATGTGTGAACATCAACCCAAACCAAGCTAATGACATTCATAGAAAAGCAAACTACTGCAGATGCTGGAGAGTGACATAAAATCAGCAAGTTCTGAAGAAACTTAGCAGGGCTGGCAGCCTCTGTGAAGTGAGAAACAGAGTTACTATTTTGAGTCCCTGACATGACTCTTCTTCAGAACTGGTGGGTGTTGAAATAAGATGGCTTTTCTGGGGAAAGTGTTGAGGAGGAGAAAGTGGAACAGGAGACATGGTCAGGGAAGGTTAGAGGGAGAGGGAAATTGAAGATTTGCCTTGGAACTAATGGCAAAGAGAGTGGTAGTCGTTGTAGAGAAGACTTAAATCACAGATATAGGTTAGGTGTTAATGTCTGAATGAAGGTCAGCTCTGCAGAAAGCAGAAATGTGTAAACAAGATACAGACATTGAGGAAATAAAGTAGCATATCAGAATGGAGGACAAAGTTCATGGTATGAAGTTGTTAAATGTAGTGTTGAGTCCAGAAGACTGTGAAGTGCCTGATGAGAAAAGTATGTGCTGTTTCAGGAGGGAGGCAGTGGCATAATGGTAATGTCACTGGACTAGTAATCTAGGACCCCAGGCTAATGACTGTGGATCTTGTGGCACAATGATCTTGTCCCCATCTTTGGGCCAGAAGGCCCAAGTTCAAGTTCCTCCTGTCGAATTATGTCATACCATGTTTGAACAGGTTGATTTAAATGAGAAAGGTGTATTGAAATGGCAAGCAACCGGGTCATGCTTGCAGACTGAGTGGAGGTGTTCCACTAAGCAGTTTATGGTGGGCTTCCTCAGAGTAGAGGACACTACAGTGAGAGCAGCAATTGCAGTAGACCAAATTGAAAGAAGGAAAAGTGAATTTATGCTTCACGTGAAAGGAGTGTTCAAAGCCTTAGACATTAAGGAAGGAAGAGGTATAAGAACAAGTATTACACCTCCTGTGATTATCTAGCCAGATGCTGTGGGAAGGAGATGAGGGTGTTAGAGAGTGGACCAGGGTGTCACAGTGGGAATGGTCCTTTCAGAATGCCAGCGGGGGATGGGAAGGTAAGTTTAATGGTGGCACCATACTAGAGGTGGTGGAAATGGCAGAGGATGAACATGGAGGCTGGTAGGATACAAACTGAGGACAAAGGATGCCTTTGGTGGGAGGGAGGGGGAAGGGATGAGAGGAGAAGGCTGGAAATAGATCGGACACATGGTACGAGGCCCTGTTATGCACAGTAGAGGAGGTCCTTGGTTGAAGAAAGAGGAAGACATGCCAGAAATGCATTTGGAAGGAAACATCATCGAAATAGATGCAACAAAAGGTGGAGAAACAGTAGAATGGAATTGATTTCTTGCAGAAAGCAAGATATAACAAAATGTAGATGAGATAGCTGTAGGAATCAGTGAGTTTGTTTGTAATGAATATTAGAGATAGGTAAGTCAGGGAAGACAACATGCTAAAAACAGCTTCTGCATACAAAGTGATTGTAGTGTGCAGATTTTTAATGAAAATCATTGGTGTGTGTGCCTGGTGCTTCTTGCCAAAGTGCTTCCTACTGGTGCCAATATGTGAAGTGCCTTGACTCTAATTTAATTTTCCTCGTAGCTTCAATCTTAGTAACCAGAGGGCTTGATGTGGCTGGTTGCGAGAAAAATTATTCCCACCTCATAGGGACCACTTCATGAACCAGCAGGCTGTATGCCTCACTGTCTGTGCATTGTGGTCTGACTTCTGTTTTGCCATTTGTGGAGGCTTCAGAGTAAGAGATGAGAAGGCATGAATATGAGAAATTGAAACATCATTTGAATTAATTCTGACCAGGGGTCCATGGCTCTTGGTCTCCACACCCAATGTTAGGAGTGACATAGGTGCAGCTCTGTGAGAAACCTGCTTATACCTTGCCCCAGTCATTTAGTAATAGAAACTGTAACTGTCTTCAACTTAACATCTCGGGTCTTGACCAAATGAATCTAGGTAATGGCCATGTAGACTGCCCTTTGATGTTCTTATGTTGATCTTTGCATTCATATATTTGTAAAACTTCCACACGCTCTGCTGTCATCTTACTGCATCTGTACACGATGCTGGTGAGACCACATCTGGAGTATTGTAAGCAATTTTGGTTCCCTTATTGAAGGAAAGGTATCATTTCATTGGAGGCAGTTCAGAGAAGGCTCACTATAATGATCCTGAGAATGGATGAATTGTCCTTCTCAGCAAAGGCAAAACAGGGGTTGGGACTCTACACATTGGAGTTTAGAAGAATGAACGGTGATCTCATTGAAACGTATGGGATTCTTAAGGAACTTGACAGAGCAAATGCAGAGAAGATGTTTCCCCTTATGGGAAATTCTGGGACCAGAGGACAAAGTCTCAGAATAAAGGGGTAAAAATTTAAGACTGAGATGAGGATGAATTTCTTCTCTTGCAACATCATGAGTCCTTAGAACTCCTCGCCACAGAGTGCTATTGACACAGTGTTCGTGTCCATATTTAAGGCTGAGATAGAAAAATTCTTGATCAGTAGTGGAATCAAAGGTTACGTGAAAAACACAGGAAAGTGGATGTGAAGAATGTTGGATCAGCCATGATCCTATTGAATGGTGGAGCAGGCTTGAGGGGCTGAATGGCCTACTCCTGTTCCTATTTATTATGGTCCTAACTTTAGTGCTGTGAAGTAATCTGGAGAAGAGGTACTGGACTCGGAGATAGTAGGAACTGCAGATGCTGGAGAATCCGAGACAACAAGGTGCAGAGCTGGATGAACACAGCAGGCCAAGCAGCATCACAGGAGCAGAAAGGCTGACGTTTCGGGCCTAGACCCTTCATCAGAAAATGGTACTGGACTCCTATGGTTTGATTCACTTTCTGCAGCACAGCCAAGCACTGTCGTTAGTGGCTGCTTACATATTTGAAGTTATTCAAAGAAAAATACTTCTAAAAGCACATCTTTAAGATCTGCGTTAATTTGCTGTTGACAAGCTAAAAGGGAAGCTCCTTAGCCCCAGCTTGCAGTATTGTCCTCCTTAGCCTCCACTTGCTAACATGTTCTTTGCATTGTACTCGGTGTAACCCTATATGGCTTATGTACAATTCCTTTCGAGTGGATACCCCTTTTAAAGCTGTTGGATTGTTGTAAAATCCCAACTGATTCGCTAATGTATTTTTGGGAAAGGAAGCTTGCTGTCCTTAGCCATTCTTTTCCATATCTGCCACCACTAACACATGGTGTCCTATTTCTGTAGTGTAATGGTTCTCACATTAGCTTTACAACTGAACAGGCCCTGGTTTGAGACCAGGCAAAAACGTTTGTGTGCATTGCTACTGTCACAATGGAGAATTGAGTCCTGATTTATCTTCTCTGTTAAATTAGTAGATGCTATAGGTGGAGGGGCAGGTACTGTTGAAGAAGTGAGGAGGATGCTGAAGTACTTAGACAATCCAGGAGAGTGGTACAAAGATAGTAGGAACTGCAGATGCTGGAGAATCTGAGACAACAAGGTGTAGAGCTGGATGAACACAGCAGGCCAAGCAGCATCATAGGAGCAGGAAGGCTGACGTTTCGGGCCTAGACCCTTCATCAGAAATGGGGGAGGGGAAGGGGGTTCTGAAATAAATAGGGAGAGAGGGGGAGGCAGATAGAAGATGGATAGAGGAGAAGATAGGTGGAGAGGAAACAGACAGGTCATAGAGGCGGGGATGGAGCCAGTAAAGGTGAGTGTAGGTGGGGAGGTAGGGAGGAGATAGGTCAGTCCAGGGAGGACGGACAGGTCAAGGGGACGGGATGAGGTTAGTAGGTAGGAAATGGGGGTGCGGCTTGAGGTGGGAGGAGGGGATAGGTGGGAGGAAGAACAGGTTAGGGAGGCGGGGACGAGCTGGTCTGGTTTTGGGATGCGGTAGGGGGAGGGGAGATTTTGAAGCTTGTGAAATCCACATTGATACCATTGGGCTGCAGGGTTCCCAAGTGGAATATGAGTTGCTGTTCCTGCAACCTTCGGGTGGCATCGTTCTGGCACTGCAGGAGGCCTAGGATGGATATGTCGTCTGAGGAATGGGAGGGGGAGTTGAAATGGTTCGCGACTGGGAGGTGCAGTTGCTTATTGCGAACCGAGTGTAGGTGTTCTGCAAAGCAGTCTGCCGAGCCTCCGCTTGGTTTCCCCGATGTAGAGGAGGCCACAACGGGTACAGCGGATGCAGTATACCACATTAGCAGATGTGCAGGTGAACATCTGCTTGATGTGGAAAGTCTTCTTGGGGCCTGGGAGGGGGGTGAGGGAGGAGTTGTGGGGGCAGGTGTAGCACTTCCTGCGGTTGCAGGGAAAAGTGCCGGGTGTGGTGGGGCTGGAGGGGAGTGTGGAGCAGACAAGGGAGTCACGGAGAGAGTGGTCCCTCCAGAAAGCAGATAGGGGTGGGGAGGGAAAAATGTCTTTGGCGGTGGGGTCAGATTGCAGATGGCGGAAGTGTCGGAGGATGATGCGTTGGATCCGGAGGTTGGTGGGGTGGTACGTGAGGACGAGGGGGATTCTGTTTTGGTTGTTATTGTGGGGACGGGGCGTGAGGGATGAGTTGCGGGAGATATGGTCGAGGGCGTTATCGACCACTGAGGGGGTGATGTTGCGGTCCTTGAAAAACGAGGACATCTGAGATGTACGGGAGTGGAATGCCTCATCCTGGGAGCAGGTGCGGCAGAGGCGAAGGAATTGGGAATAAGGGATGGCATTTTTGCAGGAAGGTGGGTGGGAGGAGGTGTATTCTAGGTAGCTGTGGGAGTCGGTGGGCTTGAAATGGATATCGGTTTCTAGGTGGTTGCCCGAGATGGAGACAGAGAGGTCCAGGAAGGTGAGAGAGGTGTTAGAGATGGTCCAGGTGAACTTAAGGTTGGGATGGAAGGTGTTGGTGAAGTGGATGAACTGTTCGAGCTCCTCGTGGGAGCACGAGGCGGCGCCGATACAGTCAACAATGTAACGGAGAAAGAGGTGGGGTTTAGTGCCAGTGTAGGTATGGAAGAGGGAGGGCCTCCTGCAGTGCCACAACGATGCCACCCGAAGGTTGCAGGAACAGCAACTCATATTCCGCTTGGGAACCCTGCAGCCCAATGGTATCAATGTGGATTTCACAAGCTTCAAAATCTCCTCTCCCCCTACCGCATCCCAAAACCAGCCCAGCTCGTCCCCGCCTCCCTAACCTGTTCTTCCTCCCACCTATCCCCTCCTCCCACCTCAAGCCGCACCCCCATTTCCTACCTACTAACCTCATCCCGCCCCTTTGACCTGTCCATCCTCCCTGGACTGACCTATCTCCTCCCTACCTCCCCACCTACACTCCCCTTTATTGACTCCATCCCTGCCTCTTCGACCTGTCTGTTTCCTCTCCACCTATCTTCTCCTCTATCCATCTTCTATCCGCCTCCCCCTCTCTCCCTATTTATTTCAGAACCCCCTTCCCCTCCCCCATTTCTGATGAAGGGTCTAGGCCTGAAACGTCAGCCTTCCTGCTCCTATGAGTGGTACAAAGAAGTGGCGGATGGAATAGAATGTGGCAACATGTGAGGTTATGCACTTTGGAAGAATGGAGGCAGACACTTTTTTTTGTACATGGGAATAGGCTTCAGAAATCTGAAGCACAAAGGGACTTGGGAGTCCTAGTGCAGAATTCTCTTCAAGTTAATATACAGGGTTCAGTTGGCAGTGAGGAAGGAAAATGCAGTACTAGCATTCATTTCAAGAAGGCTAGTATATGAAAGCATTTATGTACTGCTGAGGCTGTATAAAGCTCTGATCGGACCGTATTTGGAATATTGTGAGCAGGAAGAATGTGCTGGCATTGGAGGGGATCCGGAGGAGGGTTACAAGAAGTATATAGCTTCTCCCTTGGTTTGTCAAAAGCGAATTAACTCAGATCTTAAATCTCGTTATCTAGGATAAGTGTCTCCCTTGCTGAGGCTTATGCTCAGTCATCCCCAACAAATGACTGAACAACCCTTTAGACTAGGAAGATGGCAACACTTTGCCCCAACTACCAGTGGTTGGTACCCCATAGTGCATCAAATTATAATACCAGCCTTCCACATTGAACCCTGAGGTGAGCTTCTGACTTCATGTTTACACCATCACTAAGTCCTATCAACTCTTAACTGCTTGGTGTTGTCTGCCTCAGCACATATGCAGCTGAAACCCTCTTCATGCCCCTAGACTATAGCATTCCAATGTAATCCTGTCTGGACTCCCAAAATCTACCCTCCGTCAATCCAAGGTTATGCAAAACTTGCCGTTCATTTCTATTCATGCATTAAGATCTGTTCATCATCCATCCTATGCTTGCTGACCTATATGTCCCGTCAAGCAATGTCTTGATTTTGAAATTTGAATCCTTGTTTTCAAATCCATCAATAACTCCATCTCTTCCAGCCCAAACTTCTCTGAGATACCTGCATCTGCACCCTCAATTTTAGTTATTCCACCATTGGTAGCCATGTCATCAGTTGCCTAGATCCTGAGCACTGGAACTAAACCTCCCAAAACCTCTCTAACTACTTTCTCCCTTCTCAGATACTCATTAAAATCTTTCCTCTTTGACTGAACTTCTAGTTATTTGACCTCCTTACTTGTCTCCCCTTTTTTTGGTTTTGTGATATTTGTGCAGTGCCTTGGGACATTTTATTTTGTTGAAGGTGGAACATCAAAAGATGTTCACCTGCACATCCGCTAATATGGTCTTTTGTATCCGCTGTTCCTGATGTGGCCTCTTCTACATCGGGGAGACCAATCGGAGGCTCGGAGACTGCTTGTGGAACACCTGCGCTCGGTTCGCAACAAATGACAACACCTCCCAGTCGCGAACCACTTCAGCTCCCCCTTCCCTCCCTGGACGACATGTTAATCCTGGGCCTCCTCCAGTGTCATAATGATGCCACCCAGAAACTGGAGGAACAGCACCTCATATTCCACCTTGGAAGCCTACAACCCAACGGTCTCAATGTGGACTTTACTAGTTTCAAAAACTCCCCACCCCCGACCTCATCCCAAGACCAGCATCCCCTCTCGTCCCCGCCTTATTGACCTGTCCGTCTTCTCTCCCACCTATCCGCTCCTCCCACCTCACTGACCAATCCTCACCACTACATACCTACGCTCACCTTTACTAGCTTCATCCCCGTCTCATTGACCTGTCCGTCTTCTCTCCCACCTATCCGCTCCACTATCTACCTGCTATCACCGCTCCCCCCCTCTCTATTTATTTCAGAGCCCATTCCCCTCCCCTATTTCTGAAGAAGGGTCCCGACCTGAAACATCAGTTTTCCTGCTCCTCTGATGCTGTCTGGCCTGCTGTGTTCCTCCAGCTCCCCACTGCGTTACCTTAGACTCCAGCATCGGCAGTTCTTACTATCTTTGTCCAAATATAGACTTGGCCAAGCCTCCAAAGCCACCACTGTGAGGCTGAGATGATCCTGTCCATTATTTTCTATTTTTACTGTCACACCAGATTAAAATTTACCCTAATGTTATTCCTGTACTTTGCACTAATGTTAAAAAATACTTTCCTACTTAGGGTATTCAGTTCTGACACAGATGAAAGTGATGACTTGCCAATATTTACTGGCTTCTATGTAAAAACTCCCGTTCAATCTCGTGAGTAATTTTTTTTGTATTAAGTTTTGATTTTTTTTTGTATACTTATTGCTCATACAAGAAGAGACAACACAAAAATTCTTATTTGTTCATAGTATATGGGTGCATTGGTTAGACCAGCAAGTATTGCTTATTTAATTGTTCTTGAGAAGGTGGTGGCCTTCTTGAACTATCCACGATTGGTTAACATTAGTGGATTCACATGATTTGTTTGTACTGAACAGTTAAATATGTATTGGACAATGGCCTACATGTTTGACATTTACTGGTAAATTGATGTCTGCCCCCACAGTGAGTGGTAAATACCTAAATTTAGTCGAGTCTTGAAAGTATTAAGTTGTTATACATTTATTATTGCACATTTATTGTTTGCCAAAACTGCATGTAAGATAATTAATGTATCCAATAAGACACAAAGGGTATCCCATATTTATCCAAGTGATTTCAAAGGGAACTTCTGGATTCTCTGTTGGTAACATGTCGTTTAAACATCATAACCTTTGGCAGTTCCCCAAAGCAGAAACTGATACCAAATCGCCTGTAATAATGCATCATGAACATTTCATCACTAACTAACCTGTAAGATATATTGTACATGAAGGCTTCTGTTTGCTGACGTCTCCTTTGCATTGTAACCTACTTTGTGTGATAGTCTATGAATTGCGAGGGTCTTTTATCAGTCCTGTACCTTCTTGTTCTGTATTTAGTATCTGCTTCCATTATGCAAAGTAACAATGGTAATGTAGCTTGTTTTAATGCACTTTCATCCTGAATATAGACACAGAGGCTAAAATGCACCTAGTTCCCAAACTGTTAAAATAAGTTTTCTACCTGACCAGAAGTGTGGGATTGTTCTTAATTGAAGCAACTGAGTTATCAGGGATAATGGGTGAAATTTAAGTGAGCCTGATGAAGTGGGTTTAATGGGGGTCAGGAGAATCAGCCAAGATCAGCAGTATCTCCGTATTAGGAAAACTGTCCCCAATCAAATTGGTGGCTGGGAAAAAGCTTGGAAATGCCACCATTTGCAGCAGGATGCCAAATGGGATAATTAATGAGGCGCTTGAGAGCCATTGAGTGAGACAGCATAGAAACAGACCTTTCGGCTCACCATGTCTATGCCAACCAACAAACACCAAACTGTACTAATGCCATGTACCTGCACTTGGTCCATGGTTTGCTAAGCCCTGGCATTTTAATTACTCGTGTGGATGCTTTGTATCTTGTGAGAGTATCTGCCTGCACCACTCTCTCAGGCAGTGTATTGCAATTAACCTTGGGCCCACAAGAATTTGTGATTGCTCAGGGATTTCATGGGACCTGCACAGATCTCCCATGCTTCCCAAAGGCCACTCAACATACCCAGTCTGGTTTTCCTGCAGCCTTGTTGTGAGGAGAATCCTTCATTATCAGGCAATCAATGTCTAATTAAGACCCCTGGCATTAGGAACGTGTGGATGGATTGGGGTCAAGATTAGAAGCTCCACATTTTTGCCACTCTTTGAGGACAGAAGTTTCTTTAGAATTCTCTGTTGGATAGTTTGGTGACTGTTGTTTGCTGTTAATGGTCTCTGATTGAGCTCTTCCCACAAGAAGAAACGCTTCCATTCTTATGAAGGCCTTACATAACTCTAAATATTTCTGTCACTCAGTTTTCTGCCTTCCCTTTTTCAGAGAAAAGAGGCCCCACTTGTCAAATCTTACTTGTACTCTGCACCTTCTCTGGTGGCTCCACAAACTTGTTCTAATATTGCGAATGGAACTGCATGCCTTACTATAAATGTGGTCAAACCACCATTGAATAACTGTGCACATTAATTGAAAGTAAAGCCTAGTACTTGATTTGCTTTTTTATGGCTTTGTAAAGCAGTGGCCTTCAACCTTTTTAAGCACAAGATTGCTTTTTGAATTTAAGCGTAAACCAGGATTTACCTTGAAGAAATTATAGAATAAGCAGATTAATTTTAGTCCCGTATAAATTTGAAAGCCAGGTCTAAGTAATTATTCAGTTTGTCCTTGACTCATCAAGTCCGTGTGACCTGTAATACCCAGTGCCTCAAAGTCTGAGTCATAGTTTGAGTCTGCTAGTCATATATAGCTCATCCAATGAGTAGCTGTGAGGCGGGTGTGATACATGGACTTGATTATCTTCATTTTGGAGAATGCTGTCTTCCAGAAGTATGAGAAGTCAAAATAAGCTTTCACTTTAAAAACACAGGAAAGTAGGAATGGGTATTGTTCTCTATTTATGAGTTCCCAAAAATTGCTCACTTTGAGCTCAATATCATCTTGTGTTGTAATTTATTTCCATATCAACCTCACTGTTTTGTAGGCAAACAACTGATGGAATCTGGTAGCTGACTCATCGATGTCTACTTGAAGGAATAGATTTAAGACAAACGTGATTTGTTTCATTACACTGAATACATGAAATGGCTTGCTGAATTCCTCTGCTAACTTCCTCAGGCAAGCATAGGCATTTTCTGGGTGGAACTGTTTTTGTCTGTCTTTGGTTTTTATTCTAGTATTTTCTCCAGACTCAGGAAGTTTTGCAGCACTTTATCTTTTAATTGTGAGGATCTCAGACCAAGTTTCAGCTTGAATGTGTTTACAGCAGTGCGTCTACGTGTTAAGTTGCTGTCCTTTCATTGCAGTCTATAGTTCAGCGTCCTTAGTTTTGAACTTATGTTTGTAAGGAGCCCCAAGTTGAGCAACCATTCATTGCCTGACAGCTCACTGCACACTTCAATTTTTGATTTAAGAGATATGACAATTTCAGATATCAGATCTAAAAATGTTTGCAGGACTTTCCCTCAACTTAACCATCTCATATCTTGTACAGTTACAAACAGAAATTAATTTTCCCATTTTGCATGGAAGTTATACCTTTTTGGTTTCTTTTCAGATGGTCCAGGTTCTTCATTGATCATTACTGCTTCATGTTGTAGTTTGTGTCATCTCTCTTGTTGTTCACACTGTCAGTAGGTCTGTTGATAAGCGCCTCTGGAACATACAGAGGATTGCTGGCTGCTTTCAAGTGTGGAGGCACAGAAGGTCACATCTGTGATCATGATTTGTTTCTGGGTAGCCCTGGTCAGCTTGCATCACTTAGATACTGTGTATGGGGTACGGCAACAACTATTCTTCATCCTGCATGAGCCTATTTGATAAGCAACTGAAGAAAAATAATTGCTGAAGAAAAAATAAATACAGAGAGTGTGCAGAGGAGCTGGATGTGCTGAGTTACACTTTCAGAGAGTCTGCATGGAGTGATGGACTGAATAGTCTCATATGTTTCTGGTACTATGATATACTAGCTTTACATATCAGTTCCGAGTAGATTGCTTATTGATTTGTGTACAGTGCCACCACAAAACTTACTTGATCAATGAGAGTCCATTTTGACCACACTAAAATACAATACTACAAGCTGGCATTGTCAGTCAGGAGCATATACTTTCCTCTAGCCTCTCGGCTTCTGAAAGTGGAACTCATGCAATGGCATGACAATTGATGTGTGAGCAATAAAGGAACATGGGAGGGAAGTGAGATCAACTATCAGAGACTCAGTAATCAACCACTGAATTGATATCTGTTTGTTGGAGACCACAGGACTGAAGCTTCTTGAGTGTTGTCGGAGCTGCACTCATCCAGGCAAGTGAGAAGCATTCTATCACAGTCCTAATTAGTGCCTTGTAGATGGTGACTGGGCTGAGAGTGCAATGCTCAAGTGAGAAATGTAATATTTTTAAAAATAATATTTTTAATATTTTGGTCGTACTCTCTGCAATGTCTGACTTGAAAGCTGTTTTTAAATTATATTTATGAATAAAGTAAATTTTTGAAAAACAAAATGAGGTGGCATCCCATTGCTTTCCTCATGCATACAGAAAGGAAACAGAGGAATTCTTTGAATTCTTTGAATTCTCCACCTGTAAGCAACTCTTGTCCCTTATGATTCTTCCACCATCACCGCCAAAAATGTGCTGGTTCCCCCATTGGCTGTTGCTTGTAACCTGAACATTGAACTTGTGTCCCGGGTGATTCACAATTTGACAGGGAAACCATCCCAAGAGGTGTCCAGTGACCTTACAGCCTTTCCATTACATAGAATGTGAAATATCACTTAGGTTTCCTCTACATCTACAAAACATTTTAATTATTTCAGTTTTCTTTTGTTTCTTCATAGCACTAACTTAGGGTTCAAATTGTTTGTGTCTTTGTTTGGTTACAGTGAGCTACTGTCAGTACTCACCCCAACCAAAACAACATAAGCATAACTCTGGTCATTAGTGTCTATTAACTGTAATCTTCACCCTGCAGTCACAAAAAGCTGTTGGTTGAATATAATTTCCTTAAAGTACTCTTGTATACTGATTCTGGTTAATGATAGGTGAAATGTTCTGTTTGAAAAAATTAGTTTAAATATAATTCAATGAAGTGAATTTGATAATTTGATCAGATATGTGAAAGCCAAATCTTTTGAATAAAATGATGTTGATAAAACCAAATTCTTCAAGAAATAAATCGGCTCACAGTCGCTAATTGCATTAACTTCACGCAGAAGATGAAGCAAAACAAAGGAAGCTTGAAAATGATGATCAAATGCAGGACAAGGAGGTAATGTCACTGTGCAAACTTTATCTTAAGTAGTGTCAAATAGTTTGATTTTTGAATTTGCTCACATCACTGAAACAAATAATGGGGATTGTGAAACTTCCAGGTTAGTAATGATCAAGTCTTAACTGACATTTTTAAAAACTCTTCACTAATATCACAAAATAAAATGACTGTTCATCTTTTGGATAATTTTGAGATGTTGCTGGTGTGGTGTTACCACATTTGTCCTCATGTAGGACCCTTCTGTCTAGCCAATATCAATGGTGTGTGGCAGTGTTAAATGCCTTTATTAAATCTCTAAGCATTAGTACATATTTAAAATGATACTAGTTGCTTGTGAATTTTGTGAGCTAGTGTCTATTTCAAGTGTGAGTCCTTTGACATATCTCCAGACATGCCTTTGGAATGGCTGACTAGGCCACTTTTCTGACTGTAGTAACAATTTTCCTGAGGATTGTAACTATATTCACCTTCCTGAGCCTGCCCCTCGGCACATAAAACAATACCTTTAATCTGGTCATCCATTTAGGTTATTATTCATGCCCTAGACTCCCAGAACCACCCCCATGCAGTAATGTCATACCTTCAGCTATAAGTGAGGGTATGTCTCCATGTCCATGTCAATTACATGCTGTATCTTGGAGCAGGAACGAGTTTATTCACACATTCCTATATAGTTCAGTTTCAGTAGACAAACTGTCTGAAAAATTACCACATCAAGGACAAAGAACAATACAGCACAGGAACAGGCCCTTCGGCCCTCCAAGCCTGCGATGACACATTTTGCCCTCCATGCTAAAATTGTCTTCCTTTACAGGATTCATATCCCTCTATTCCCTTCCTATTTATGTATTCATCTAGGTGCTTCTTGAATGCTACTATTGTGCCTGCTTCCACCATCTCCTCCAGCAGCACGTTCCAGGCACTCACCACCCTCTGTGTGCAAAACTTACCTTGCACATCTCTTGTAAACTTCTCCCCTTGCACCTTGAACCAGTGTACACCAGTAATTGACCACCCACTCCACCCTGGGAAAATGCTTTTTTACTTTCCACACTATCCATGCCATTCACAAACTTACGAACATCTATCAGGTTGCCCCTCAACCTCCAGCGAAAACAAATCCAGTCTACCCAAGCTTTCTTCATAGCTAATATCCCCCATACCAGGCAACATCCTGATAAACCTTTTCAGTACCCTCTCCAAAGCATCCACATCCTTCTGGAAGTATGGTAATCAGAACTGTACACAATATTCCAAATGCGCTCTAACTAAAGTTCTGTAAAGCTGCAGCATAACTTGCCTATCCTTATACTCAGTGTCCCTTCCAATGAAGGCAAGCATGCCAAAGGCCTTTTTTACTACCTTCTCTATCCACGTTGTCACGTTCAGTGATCTGTGGACCTACACGTCCAGATCCTTCTGCATATCAATACTTATAAGGGTTCTGTCATTCACTGTATATTTCCAGCTGTACTTGACCCTCCAAAATGCATCATCTCACATTTGTCTGGATTAAATTCCATCTGCCATTTTTCTGCCCGTACCTCCCACTGATCTGTATGCTGCTGTATCCTCTGACAATCCTCTTCACTGTCTGCAACTCCACCAATCTTTGTATCATCTGCAAACTTACTAATTAGACCAGCTATATTTTCCTCCAAATCATTTATGTATGTCACGAACAGCAGAGGCCCCAGGACTGATCCCTGTGAAACGCCATTAGTCACAACCCTCCATTCTGAAAAACATTCTTCCACCACTATCCTCTGTCTCCTATGACTAAACCAGTTCTATAATCATCTTGCTAGCTCACCCTGATACCATGTTACTTCACCTTTTGTACCAGTCTGCTATTAGGGACCTTGTCAAAGACTTTACTGAAGTCCATGTAAACAACATCAACCATTTTTCCCTCATCAATCATTTTTGTCACCTCCTCAAAAAACTCGATCAAGTTAATCAGGCATGACCTCCCCCACACAGAACCATGCTGTGTATCGTTCATAAATCCATTTGCTTCTAAATGCATGTAGAGCTTGTCCCTGAGAATCTTTTCCAATAATTTCCCTACCACCGACATGAGACTCACAGGCCTGTAATTTCCAGGATTATCACAGCTGCCCTTCTGAAACAGTGGGACTTTGTTTGGCTATTCTCCAGTCCTCTGGGACCTCACCTGTTGCCAAAGAGGATACAAAGATGTCTGTCAATGCTCCAGCAATTTGTTCTCTTGCCTCGCCCAATATTCTGGGATAGATCCTATCAGGACCCAGGGACTTATCTAAGTTAATACTTTTTAATACTCACAATACCTCTTCCTTTTTAATAGCAACTTGGCTCAGAAACTCGACACTCCCTTCCCTGAGATCATCTTCCATCAATTCCTTCTCTTTAATGAATACTGACACAAAGTATTCTTTTAGGACCTCACCTACTCTTCGGGTTCCACACATCGATTCCCTCCTTAGCCCTTGATTGGGCCAACCCTTTCCCTAGTTACCCTCTTGTTTTTGTATATGTATAAAAAGCCTTGGGATTCTCCTTAATCCTGTTTGCTAATGACTTTTCATTTCCTCTTTTAGCCCTTCTAATTCCTTGTTTAAGTTCTTTCCTACTTTCAAGGGCTTCGTCAGTTCCCATCCTCCTAGACCTTACGTATGGTTCCTTTTTGTTTTTGACCAAGGTCATAACATCCACAGTCATCCACAGTTCACCTAACTTGCCGTACCTATCCTTCATTCTCGCAGGAATATGCTGCTCCTGAACACATACCAACTGTCGTTTGAAATACTCCCGCATGTCCGATGTAGATTTACCCTCAAACAGTCACCTCCAATCAACATTCTCCAGTTCCTGCCTAATATTGTTGTAGTTTGCCTTCCCCCAATTGAGCACCTTCACCCAAGGATGGCTGTTATCCCTATCCATGAGTATCTTAAAACTCAGGTTATTATGGTCAACATATTGTAGAAATGCCCTGACATGTCTGTGCGTCTGTTTCTTTTTGAATTAAATCTGGTCCAGCAATATGTGTTTAGTCAGAAATTTCTTTTTGTGACTTCATATTCTTAGCACCTTGAGAAGTACTCTGCTCACAGGACAACCAATCTTAATTTATTAAGATGAAATAAGTAAAACCATAGTTGAATGATTTAGCCAAAGGTAAACAATAGATTGATTTACATATGTAACAGTCTGGATTTAACACCAGGATGTGACTCATTACTGTGTTCTGTACTTTGTTTGTCCCATCGACTTTTATATTTTCAGAGACGCTCTCAGTCTGATACTGTTGCAGAAAATGAGACTGACCCTTCAAATGGTATGTTTACCTGTTATGACTTAAATGAAAACTAACATAAAATGTTAATATTAAGTACAGTATACAGCTATTCATGGACTGAATGAATCTCAAAGGTCATAATGTAAAGAAATATGTTTAAAAGCTATACTGCAGGAAAATACCCAGAGTCCTTTGACAGCACATTCGGAACACACAATTTCTATGATCTAGAAGGACAAGGGCAGCAGAGATATGGGAACGCCACCAATTGCAAGTTCCCACCAAGTCCCATGCCATGCCAATTTGGAAATATATCACCGGCCCTTCATAATTGCTGGGTCAAAATCCTGGAATTCGCTTTCTAGCAGCACCATGGGTCTACCTACAGCGTGTGTACAACAGAGATTCGGAAAGATGACCCATCACTACCGCCTCAGGGATAATAAATGCTGGTTTTTCCAGCAATCCCCATATCCATGTACAATATGTTATAAAAGACTTGAGTTTAATTGCCAGTTATTTTTGTATATTACTTTCCGCAACAGCACCATTTGGAAGAGTCCACTGTAAAGATTTTGTATCGTATTGTTCAACCTCAACAATGAGGCTGCTGTTGAGTTTTGATGCTGCCTCTTTCCATATATCCTTGAAGAAAATCTGTTCATCTGGTTAGAAAGTTCAAGGAGTAGAAATTTAGTTTTGTTGACTGTTATTTTCTTCTTCAAAGGATGGACAGGCATCAACTGCTTTAGATCTGTCATGTAGTAATTCAACTAAGATCTGGTGAAATGCAAGTCAAATGATCAAATGTTGCAGGTTGCTGTGGCAACTTGCGACGGAGGCTGAAAGCCAACCTTTTAGTTTGAGTGTGGACATTTTTGTTTATTTAGGTCCCCAGTAGTTGGTGGGTTGTTTATTTAATATATTTAATATTTAAATTCTCATTTAATAAATTGTGTTACAACTTTCATTTTGATTATCAGGAGCAGGGATGTTTGCTTTTACCTGAGTCCAACAGTACAGGCCATTATGTGAGATGATCAGTGTATTTATTGTCACGTACCAGTGGATAGTTCTAGGCAATGGATTTTGTTCATTTATACCCACAAACAGCATTGACCACTTTTCACCAGATTTATAGGCTCCATCCAGGTGTACTCTTCCACTGTTTGGAATAATGGAGGTTTCCTAACTTCCAGTTACCAAAGCACTCCTGGATGGCGGGAACATTTAAATTGGCAGCTAACCTTATGACCTTTGCGTTAAGCCAACTTGATCCAGTCCACAACAATTGAGCCTTTGTTCTGCTATTTCCATGAAATTTCCATTTCCATGTTCCTGTGTTTCTGCTTTTTAAATGTATATCAACAATTCTGCTACACTGGTCATTTTGATTGTTAAGTATTGATTTGGCCTGAAATGTCAGGACTTTAGAATAAACAAAGTGCTTCAACGCTGATCAGGTACTTATGAAGTGAACAGACCTGTCCTCAGCGTGGAGAATAGAATAAATGTGGCACCTGATTGACTCACAGCAAACTCCCACAAACAACAATACTATCAGGAAAGATCTTCTTTTGTTAATGTTGATAAATTCCCCAGGCTTTGAGAAAACTTACCTGTTTTTCATGAAATGCTGCCATGTCTACCTTAGGAGGCAAATGAAAATTGTTTCAGCCAAAGGATGATCCATCCAACACTACAAGGCTCCCATAGTACTTCAGATGGCTGCTACTGTGCCAAGGCTATCAACTTGTTGAGCATTAAAACTGTCCCTTTTTTTTTCATTTTTAGTTTTCTATACTTTTCTGAGGGGTAATTAGCTTTTTAGTGATTGTGCAATTTTCCCATGACATGCTAAAGTTCTTGATCTTATTTGTATGTTCTTCATTTTTTAACCATGCTTTCTCTTCCCTGTGGAACAGAGCACTCGCCCTCCTTGTTCCGTGAAGTCGGTCTTCAGAGCGGTCAAGGTAGAACTCAGTTGAATGAGGTACGTTGGAATACGATTGAGGAAGAAACAAAATTCGTGTCAGAAATGTATCGTTGCTTCAGAGATTGACCAAATAGTGACTAACACGGCATCCACAGTGAATTGAACAATTGAATTTGACAAAACAAGGCTGGTTTGATCCAGAATTCTCACCGAGAAGCGTTTCAATTGTGGATTTTCATTGTTGAACTATTTAGTGGCAAGCACTTCTAATTGAATCTTCTGTGTAGGTAATAATCTACCTATTGAGCTGAAGAATTAAATGTGGGAACAGGAGTCACCCATTCGGTCCTTTTGGCTACAAGGCTGTTCTGTTGTTCAATTCAATCATTGTTAGATCAGTATTTCAACTTTGTTTACCCTCATGGTTCATGATCCCCTAATAATTATGCCTAAGAATAAAATTTTGTAATACTCAACTGGCCTGCCCCCAAAGGTATTTTTCTAATGGGAGGAATTTCCTGAGTTTCATGGACCTTTGTGTGAAAAAGTGCCTGCTGACAGGTTGACTGACTGACCTGACCCAAATGAACTTCTCACATTCTAGAAGATCCACTATCTAACTGAAGATTCTGTGAGTCATGCAAAACTTAAATCTGCTGGCAACAACAGCAATATAAGTAAAAGGTAAAGTCACCATAATCCCAGAAGACTATAGGGCTACTAGCTCTTTTGAAATAAATTAACCTGAGGGTCAGCACACCCCACATGAGGGGTGGGGTTGAGAAAGTGGGTCCTTCATGGTGACCTTAGCCTCAGGTACGGAAATTGAACCCACGCTGTTGGCACCACTCTGCACCACAAACCAGCTGTAAAGCCAACTGAGCTAACCAGCAATGTATCTCAGGCTGCTACTTTCAGTCTTTCAGGCTAGTTGCTTCCTTTGAAATGAGTGTGTAAGATGAATTTCTCCAATTGCATTGTGGTTCTAAATGTGCTTATTTGAGCTCTATGAATTAGAGTTCTGTAGCACAGGAACAAGATATTCAACTAATCCTCTCTGTGCAAGGTCTTTTAAAAGAATCACTTAATTCATCCATTCCCTGCTCTTTTCCTGTAGCCCTGAAAATGATTCCTTTTTTAATTACCGCATGACCACCCTTTCAGGCAACACATTCCAGTTCATCATAATTTGCGACATGGATATAATTCTCTCTTGAGTTCATCACAGCCTTAAGTCACAGAATTGTCACAATGAATAAGGAGGCCATTAAATCTGTGTCCTTTGGTTACCAGTCAGTCATTAAGTAGATGTTTAAATTTTAATTAAACATCAGTGTAGTGTAATTAAGTAGGTTTTGTTTTAAGGTAATAGCACATGTTTATTTTTCTGCTCACTTTAAAGAAACGTTGTTTTTCATTTAGAGCAATAGTACCAGGAATGTACACCTTGATTCTCGTGCCATCTCAGGTACAGTCAATTTATTGTGTACTTAATTAGCTGAGCTGAAATGCAAACAGTAAATTTAAACATGCCCTTGATACAGGTTTCAGAGCATCATGACAATTAAGCATTTGGTTACGAATCTAAAATGGAAATTGCTGGAGAAGCTCAGCAGGTCTGGCAGCTTCTGAGGAGAGAAATAAGAGTTAGTATTTCAGGTCCTGTGACTTTCTTCAGAACTTAAACTTCAAAACTTATTCGGTTACAAATGGTGTGGCAGATCCTTTGTCCTGTTGGATTACACGAGCAGTCAGTTGTGATCTTATGCCTTCCTCTGAGCCAGATGATCCAAGTTCAAACTCTACCAGCCCCCTGTCACAGCATGTCTGAGAGGTTTGATTAAAATAGCTACATGGCCAGTCAGGAACACAGCAGGCCAGGCAGCAGCAGAGGAGTAGGAAAGCTGACGTTTCCGGTTGGGCACCATCTTCAGAAGAAGGGTTCTAACCCGAAACGTCAGCTTTCCTGCTCCTCTGATGCTGCCTGGCCTGCTGTGTTCCTCCAGCTCCATACTGTGTTATCTCAGACTCCAGCATCGGCAGTTCCTACTGTCTCTGACATGGCCAGTCAGTCCAGCTAGTCCATTCTCATGTTTATGCTTGACACATTCCACCTCCCATTCCATTCCCATCCTTTTAGCATATCTTTTTCTTTGCTTTTCTGATGCATTTTTGTCTAACTTTCTTTTGAAAGGATTGGAGCTTTTTGCCTCAATTACCATGTGTTTGCAAGTTTCGCCGTCTGAGCAGAGTAATTTCTCCTGAATTCCACACTGAATTTATTAGGAACTGCTCTTTATTTATCTTGGATTCTCTTGCAAATAGAAATATTCTTACTACATCTACGCTGTCTAACTCATTCATGGACTTAAAGATCTTGATCTGTATATCTCTGTAAAGAGATTTTTTAAAAGAAAAATCCAAACTGCCCAATCTTTCACAATAGCTGGAATCTTACAACCTCCTCATCTCTATTTATTTCAGAGCACCCTACCTCTCCCCCATTTCTGAAGGAGGGTCCCGACCTGAAAAGTCAGCTTTCCTGCTCCTCTGATGCTGCCTGGCCTGCTGTGTTCCTCCAGCTCCACACTGTGTTATCTCAGACTCCAGCATCGGCAGTTCTTACTATCTCTTGTTATATTAAAGCATTTTTAATAGTACCAGGATAAAGCTTCACTGATGACAATATTCATTTCCATTTGTTTTCCTTAACCATTCGAGCACATTGCAAGAAAATTAAGAGGTGAAATAATGAAGGAAATGTCTGAGCAAGTTTCCCCTACTTTTAATCTTTGGTGTTTATCATTGTCAGTCATTGGCTGTCCTTCAACTTGAAAATGATGTCTCCTCAGGGCTGGGTAATTTGTTTTCATGTGACTGAACTGGCCAATTCTCAACCCACAAATATTTATGCACGTGGGGCAAGATGTCCTGCAAGGTAGTGTGATCCAGAATGCAGGATATGCTTCCTTTTTATTCCTTCTCTGACACCACTCTGCCTCATCATTAATGCTTTGGATTTGGAGCATGATGGTGCAGCTTGATGGACAAGTTGTCACCATTCTGAATGATTGGCAGCGAGCTCCTCCTAATCATTAATGCCAATGGTGCTTCACTTCCAGGAGAGCTTCAAGGTGTCCTTGTATTGTTTTCTTTGCCTTCCTCTGGAATTCTGACCATTTGAAAGTTGAGAAAACAGGACCTGTCAGGGGAGATATTTATCAACCATTTCTCCACCATGTCCAGTTCATTGTAGCTCATTTTGTAGACGTTTTGCATGAATGCTTGTAGAGTTGGCTTCAAGAAGGACATTTATTCAGCAGTCCTCCATTGAATCTAAGAATGTAATGAAGGTATTTCTCTTGTGCTCTTATGTGTCTGTAAAAGACAGTCCAGGTCTCACTGTAGTACCAGAATGTGATGATGACCACTGTAGTTCACATTGGGACTTCTGTTGATGTTGTCAAACATCTATTTGTGTAGTTTATAGAAGACTGAGCAAGCACAACTGATCTCGTGTTGAATCTCCTTGTCACTAGTGCCTGTTTTGAGAGAGGTAGCTGCCAAAGTATGGGTTCTGTTCCACAGATCCCCGAGTCTGTCCTTCAACATAGATGGGAAGGGGCAGATATGAAACATGTTTTGGCAATATTCTAGGACATGTTGAAACATTTGTGAGCAGAATTGAAAAGATTGAGCATGGTTTGCAAATCTGCTGCCATGTGAGCAATGACACTGCAATTATCTGGGTACTGTAGGTCATGTTTTTCTATGGTGGTCAGTTTAGTTTTGACAGGGAGGCAACTGAAATTGAAGAGTTTTCCATCTATCTAGTATTTAGTACACCCGAACCACTATTAAGTAGATTGTAAATGGTATGGGGCTATCATAGAGCCTTGATTGACATCAGTCTGGATTTGAAACTGTCTATTTCAGATCTCCTATTCATCATGAAGCACCTGCAGGATGTGATAATGTTTCTTGGACATCCAAATCTCTCTGGAGGACAGTCCAAAGAACCTCATGATTTATTCAAATCAAATACGTTGGTCAGGTTCCTGGTATTGTTTGTGACATTTTTGCTGCAAGGGTCTGGTAACAAAACCCATGTAAGAGATTCCTCTGGAAGGACTGAGGCCACACTCTGTTTCTGGCAGGATTTTCTTAGTGACAGGAAGTTGGTGGTTCAGGAGAATGCATGTGAAGATTTTTCCTACTGTAGCCAACATGAAGTGGTTTCTAGAGCATGACTCATTTCCCTTCTTGAAGACAACTACATTTGTTGCATTCCTGAAGTGGGGAGATGGGAGGTGGTGTCATGGAAAGAGTTCCTTTCCATCCCAAATCAGCAAGATGAGTGCATGGAGACTTATAGTGTTCATGGCTGGTTATCCAGCAGCTTTTTAGAAAAAAGCAGATCAGTTGCTTTGAGATCTTATTAATAAGTGCTTTAGAACTGTTGTCAAAAGAATTAACTGCTGTTTATGAAAAATATCACACTGATTGTTATTTATTTTTACAGATGAAAATGAGCCAAACGATGCAAACTGCAGTGATGCAAGCACAAATTTAGACCAAGTATGTTTGATAAATTGAAATATTTTGTGATTATATTAAAATATTTTGTAATTATATTAAAATATTTTGTAATTATATTATAATATTTTGTAATTATATTAAAATGTTTTATAATCATATTAAAATTGTGTTCTCCCACATCTCTGCCAGACTAAACGGGACATAACTTGTGGTGGAATTCCATTTCCTTCCTTTATGTGCAGAGTTTGAGATCCCAACTGAGATTCATCCCTGAGTGTGATGATCAGGGATTTGATCTTGGGTTTTTCATTATCTCTGATGTTTGCTGCTATTGAACAACATTAATTCACCATTAATAATTATCATAACTCCGTTTGACACTACAGCTTGACAAAATGACATGCTAATAGATAGCTATATGATAATGACTATGTATTTGAATTAGTTTAGTTTTTGACACAACAGATCTGATACAAGGTAAATCTGGAATACTGGAGTTTAAAGAGCCATAAATCCAAATTCCAACCATACTGTAATGATTACTACCTTATTTTAGGCACAGTACATCTGTTTCAGATTTGAAATGGAGCTGGGGAGCCAGTAATTCACTTGCTTAGAGTTGCTTTTTTTTTTAGCAGCAAGAAGGCCAAGAGGAAATTGTAGACGTCCAGCAAGAAGTCCGAAGGCAGATGACAGAAGACACCCCATGTACAAGCAGAAATCTGTGTTGTGAGCCATCAAGTATTTGTTTTAAAAATGACTCAGTCTTCGAGAAATCGTATTACTCTTCTTGGTTCCTAATTTTTTCAAGTGGCTTGAAGGTCTCCCCCCTGCTATTCTGTGTTCAACAAAATATTATTCATTTATTATTTTAATGTTCAGGTTCAGTGCTAGTTGCCTGGTGGTAGTTACGCTGATAAATGTCTGGGAAAAAAATGACTAAATTGACACTACAGAAAAAAATGTCTGGGAAGGAAGTTGCACGTTTAATGTTTCCTCCAGGTATTGTAAAGATCCTCAATAGGATGTTGTGGTTTATGAATACACTTTCTTCAACTTCTACATTAGTTAATTCCCTGGCTGTATTCTGCCACATTAGTGTCTGTGGACAAGTGTTAGCTGTGGTGAACATGGAATAGATTTTTCAGCCAGACAAGTGAAGATTATGAGACAGGGACTATTAGCAAAGTAATTAGATGTGGCAAGGTCTTCGTCTTTATGTAATTTATTTGAGTCAAACTATTAATCCCAATGCAGAGTCCTTACAGGACACAGTGGATATTTTGGAAGCGTTGATATTCTGTTGCCTTAATACCAAAGGATGAATAAATCGTTGTAATTCAGCATGCTAATCTTCATATTATTGTATGTTCCAAGGATTCAAGACTTTGCTTGGAAATTATTACAGAACATGCAAAATAACTATTACAGAACATGCAAAATAACTATTTGACTGCTAATGGTCAGATTACCTCCCTGAACTGGAGTTGTCATCTTGCTTTAGTAACTAATTAAATTCCATATTAGCTAGTGCTATATTCCAAGACAAATCTACTGCAGACATTTCAGTCCAGGAGGCACTCGTGAATTCTGTGAACATTTTGGTAAGCACAGTTAGTAGAGGTTCTGTCCCGTTTGCTTTCATTATTTATAACCAAGTGCAGTTTGAATTTTGAGAAGATTATAGCATAGGAATAATGGAAAATGGAGAGTTGGATCTAGTCACGTGGTGTGACAATAGAAGGTTTATTTTTGCTCTTTGCACTTTTAACAACAGCTACCTACACTTGTAATTTAATTTCCTTTTTATTTGTTCCTGGATGTGGCTTTTTTCAAAAACATATCCAGCACTGGTATTCCTAATTGCCCTGAGGGAGTTAACCACACTGCATGGATCCATTAAACTCCTTGGATGTCTGATTTCAAATGAAACTATAGAAGCTATAAAATTGTTGTCTTTTCAGCAACTCTGAGCTTTCTATTAGATTCACATTTGTGCAAAATTTGGGTGCTGACCAGAATACACAAAACATATGTTTTTAGCTGATCAACTTCTATCTCAAATTTAGCTTCTAACTTTTCTCTATTTTTACCTTTTTGTGCCTCTCCCCTATCAAGTCCATGTCTCAGAATTAAGGGTAGGTTTCAGGTGCAGTCATGAAGACTCTTGGTGTATTGCAGGAAGCCAGTCCATACTTGGACCGAAGTAATTCAATGCCACATTTTCTGTGCAGTTAATGTGAGTTCCCAATTGTGTTTGAACAGCGACAGGACAAGCAAACACATTCTGGAAGAAATGCAAGGAAGCTAAGTGCGTGGAGATGATCTTTAAGAAAATGCAGAATGATCTGAATGCCATTCAGCAAAATATAATTAATGGAAGTGCCACAGATAAAGGTATGTTCATATTGACTGAGAGGTGCCTGAAATTGAATGTGGATTTTTAGTTTCTATTAAATATGAATTAGTATTTTTAAGCTGATGACTTTAAAAAAAAATTTGAGTTATTCAAGAGAATATTTTAATTCCATTTTTTGTTTGAGTATGTTTTTATGTTTTGTTGTGTTCTACAAGTACTATGCATTAGCACTGTGCTGTTAGAGTCATAGAGATGTACCGCACGGAAACAGACCCTTTGGTCTAACTCATCCATGTCGACCAGATATCCTAGCTTAATCTAGTCCCATTTGCCAGCATTTGGCCTATATCCAAATAGGCCTCATTTATGCCTAAAATTGATGAACTGATCATTTATTTCATATTGGTTGTGGAACTTTGGCTGTCATCGTTTCTTTGTCATAACAGTGACTCCATTTCAGAATTATTTTTGGGAGGTCTTGAAGTCTTGAAAGGCATTGGAGAAAAAATGCAAGCCTTCATATCTTCTCTCGATATCATATTACTCTATGTATAATATTGCAATGAAGTACAGTTACAACAGTTAAAATAGATAACTTTAATATTTGTAAAATTTATCTTGTGCTTATTTGTAGATCTAAACTTAGGTAGTGATTGAGAGCAAGGTATAGAAATCATAAAGAGCATCAGAACTACATTTGATATGACCCCACCTACATTTTCCATTGCTAAGGATGGGGGTCAATCAGTACTTGTCTGGCAAGAAAACCCTTAACCATTCCTCTCAGTCGAACTTGGCACTCTGAAATTCACTGTAGAGCATCAACTGCTACCTGACTAAGCGTTAGTCAGGAATTTACCCTGGGACATTAAGTCCTGCATGTCCAGTAAGATACACCTTTTTTTTTTAGCTGATTTGAAAAAAAATTGAAGCAAATCCAGAGGTACAAATTTAAAAACAAAAATTTTGTAATTTTCATTCATGTTTGTTGATTAATTGGAGTGATATGAAAGACCACAGCATAGTGGAATTATGTGGATCTTTAAGCTGCAGTTCAAGAAGTTTAACTCCATCATTCACCCTTTTCTTTCAGAGTATGACAATGCGTGGACAATATTTTTGACTTTGGATTCACTTCAAGTATTGGAAGAATTCCAATCTGGTAAGAATTGTGTCATACAAAAGCAAATTCTGCTGGCTGTTAGATAACTGAAATCAAAGCAAAATGTTGGAAACACTAAATTGGGCAGCATCTGCCACACAAAATTATTAGCTTAATATTTAACACTAAGTCCAAAAATTAATCATCTGCCATTATTTCATCTGTGTTGCAGGATTGTGCTGTTAATAAAATTAACTTATATTTTTCTACAGTACAATGAGCGACTACACTTCAAAACTACTCGACTGAATGGAATGTGTTTTGGGTTGAGTTTTTATTTATTCATTCATGGGATGTGGATGTCGTTGTCTAGGCCAACATTTATTGCCCAGGGGGCAGTTAATAGTCAACCATATTGTGTGGGACTGGAGTCACGTGGGCCAGGCCAGAAAAAGATGGCAGGATTCCCAGAGGACATTAGTGAACCAGATGGTTTTTTATGACAATTGATGGTGATTAAGTGGTTGCCTTTAGACTAGCATTTTATTTCAAATTTTTATTAAATTCAAATTTCATTGTCTGCTATGGTGGGATTTGAACCTGTTGTCCTCAACCTAATAGCCTGGGGCTCTGGATTACCACTCCAATAACATTACCACCCGTGAAAAGTATAATATAAATTTTATCTTCAATAAAATCCTTTTTCTCCTTTAACAGAAACACTTCAAAAACTGCAACTTCTTGAAAAAGAAAAATCATCTTTAAAAATAAAAGAGTGTCTTGTTCAAGAGATGAGAAAGATAGCTGGATCGCTGAATCATAAATCTCACAGAGAAAAGTGATTGCTCTAAGTTTACCTCAATGCAACTGTCTCCCGTATTGAAGCTGTACTCATTGGAAGTTGTGAGCTTTTGCACATTAGCAACAAGCAGCATATCATCAAATGGAGAATGTAGATGTTCTAGGCCAATCGAGTTCCAAGTAACATGAGGGAGAACTTTTATCTGTTATTGCCCGGTGAATTCAAGCCAGTGTGGGATAGATGTGAGGTAGTCAAGTTATCATCCTGCTTATTTTCCTGGGGACTTTGCTGGTTGGTCAAGAAACACGCCTGAAATCAGGAGCTTTTTAAACGAAACAAGGTCTCTGAGGTGATTTTAATGACATATTGGATACTGAGAGTGGTGGATATTCTGCTTCATCAATTCTTGGGAGGCCAAAGCATACTTCTGGCCACCGTAGAAATTACGGGGCCATATTGGATCTTCATACCAGCTTGGCATTTGGGCCAGATGCCAGATGCTACGCTCACCCAGAGCTAGAGGGACATATCGATGGAGACCATCCTCTTCACCAGTCAGCTGTAAAAATAATTCCAATCTCCAATAAAATAGCAGACTGCAAAATCTAAGTTACCAATCCAGTTCATGGTAAGTACTGCAGGAGGTACTGAAATCAGCAATGCTGTGCTTCAAGCACAACCGCTGGCCTGACTGTCTAACCACATTGCAGCATTCTCATTCTAAATGGTCACACCAGCGATTTCAGTGTTAAAATTTGATATAAAGAATCACAAAATTCTGAAAGTCAAAATAAGCAGAAGATTTATGTTTCTGTTTATGGATAAATGTCACTGAATATTTGAATAATAATGTATGTGCTAGAAACTGTTACCAAAACTATGATGTGGAATTTAAATGTAAATAGTTAAATAGCAGACTCTCCTTATCAGTCATTTCGGTGGTAAACTATTTTCTGTGCGACAACTGAACTTTTTAAAAGCTGTGAAGCAAACAAATATGGGTAGATGTTTGCTACACCTGTCATTTACCGATTTTGGTGAGACCACACCCAGAATGTTGTGTATTGTTTTGGTCTCCTTATGAAAGGAGAGGTATATTTGCATTATTAAGACATTTCAGAGAAATTTCTCAAAGTTGATTGCTGGATGAAGAGATACCCTAATAAGGAAAAAGTTGAGCAGGTTGGACCTTTGATAAGAATGAAGTGATCTTATTGAGACATCGAGGATTCTGAGGGGATTTGACAAGGATACATCCTGAATCGCACATGCGATATAGGGGAATCTATAACTATGGAACAGAATTTCAGTGTAAGGAATCACCCATTTAAGAAAGAAATGAAGAATTTCCTCTCTGTGGATTGTGATCTTTAGAATTCTGTACACCAGAAGGGCAAGATAGAGGAAGAGAGTCCCAGATTATGCGGAACAGGCAGAAAAGTGGAGTTGAGGCCAGGATCAAATCAGCCAAATTGTATTAAATAGCAAGTCAGGTTCAAAGGGCCACATGATCTATGCTAGATGGCACTGTTGAGACAAATGACTGTTTGCTGTTCCAGATAAAATCTGAAGTTTCTTTGGTGCATTTCTGGTCAACAAAACTACAACGCTGCATTCCAAATGGTGAAAGGAAGGAAGGCCAATGTTAATTAACACAATCAAATTGTATTAATTTTTTTTTATTTGGACAGTGAGGCAAAAAACGTGCATTTCTGTGGCATCTTTCATAACCTTGATATCCCAAAACCAATGAAATACTGTAATGAAAGGTGTCTCATGAATATCCATTTTAGAATTTGGAGTTTCAATCATGGCATTATGGGGCTGGTTACTTTTCTTGGGGTTTTAAAAAATTAATGAGTTCAAACATGCCTGTTCTGGTATGTGTCAAAGAGTAAAGATCCCTGGAGTGTTAATGGAAGATTGGTTTTACAGTGGTGCTTTATGACAGGTGGGGCAAACTTTGAAGGCCATTGTGTCTTTCCTTCAGCATAATTAAGGATTGATTTTAGCTTTGGAAACCCAGAGATTGAAAACTTTTATGGCCGTTTAGAGGAGACCTGACGGAGGTCCGAAGCAAACATAATTTATGGTATGCTCTTCCTGTCAGATGTAGGATATAAAGAGCAGTCAAGTGTCCCTGGTGACTGCAGGAAGTGTGTCCAGCTGCAGCTCCTCTCAGACCCAAGGATCGATTGCACACACCGAGTTGCATGCAGAGGAGAGTGTGATAGACAGTAGCTTCAGGGCAGTGGTCACATCGCAGATTCAGTCAGGTAGATGGGTGACCACCAGGAGACGTAGGTAGGTAGTCGAGGAGTCTCCTGTGGCTACCTCTCTCATAAATAAGTATACTGTTTTGAATATTATTGGTGGGGAGATAGCCTCACAGAGGAGAAAGAGCAGCAGCAGGAGGCAGGTCTGTGGTACCACGACTGGCTGTTTATCTGGTTGTTTTACTAACTGGAGGTCTGTGACCACTGGTGTGCCGTAAGGATCAGTGCTGGATCCACTGTTGTTTGTCCTTTATATAAACAATTTGGATGAAGATACAGGAGGTGTGGTTAATAAGTTTGCGGATGACACCGAAATTGGTGGTAAAGTGGACAGTGAAGAAGGTTATCTAAGAGTACAACGGGATCTTGTGCCATTGGGCAGAGGAATGGCAGATGGAGTTTAATTCAGATAAATGTGAAATGCTGCATTTTGTTAGACAAGCTAGGGCAGCATTCATACAGTTAATGGTGGGCCCTGGGGAACGTTCTCAAACGGTGACACAGTGGTGCCGGTACATAGTTCCTTGGAAGTGGCATCACAGGTAGACAGGGCGGTGAAGGTGGTATTTGGCACAAAATTAGAAATTACTGGAGAAGCTCAGCAGGTCTGGCTGCATCTGTGGAGAGAAATCAGAGTTAAGTTTCGGGTTGAGTGACCCTTCCTCAGGATTAAGGAAGGGTCACCCCTCCCAAAACGTTAACTTTGGCAGCATCTGTAGACAGAAATCAGACCTGCTGAGCTTTTCCAGCAATTTCTATTTTTCCTTCCGATTTACAGCATCCGCAGTTCTTTTGGTTTTGAGGTGGCGTTTGGCACTCTTACCTTCATCAGTCAGACCACTGAACACAGGAGTTAGGATGTCATGTTACAGCTATACAAGACATTGGTAAGACCACATTTGGATTACAGCATACAATTCTGGTTGCCCTGCTATAGTAAGGATGTTACTAAACTGGAAGGGGTACAAAATAGATTTACAAATATGTTACTGAGACTGGAAGGTTTGAATTAGAAGGAGAGGCTGGGACATTTTTCCCTGGAGCATCGGAGGCTGAGGGGTGACTTTTTAAAAGGGGCATAGCCAAGGTCTTTTTCCAGTGTAGGAGAGACCAAAACTAGAAGGCATAGGTTTAAGGTGAGAGGGGAAAGATTTTAAAGGGAACCTGAGAGGCAACTTTTTCACACAGATGGTGCATATATGGAATGAGCTGCAGGAGGAGGTCAGTACAAATGTAACATTTAAAAGATATTTGCACAGGTACATGGATAGGAAAGATTTAAAGGGAAATGTACCAAATGCAGGCAAATGCGACTAGTTTAGTTTAGGAAACCTGGTCAGCATGGACAAATTAAGCTGAAGGGCCCATTTCCGTGCTGTATACCTCCATGACTCTATCTCTTAGAAATAAATATGCAGGACAATTCAGTGAAAGCACGGTTACTGCAGTAAAAAATATTTTCGTTGTTAACTTTTTAACAACCAGGAGAGTTTGCTTAGAAATTCGTTTATAAAATGGTGAGAAAGTCAAGCTGTCTGTTTAGAGAGTAATCTGAGAGGATGACTTTTACAGTTCTTTGGAAAGCAATAGGAGAATCAGTTTATATCAAATTTTTAAGTTTGACTCGAGGCATAATTTCTCCAGATAGAATCTTTGAGACGGATCGTGTAGAGAAATGGGATGAGATGTTGCGTTTGTGAGTGTTAAGATTTTTGGAGCTATGCTCTACATTTAGACAGCATGATTTGGTTTCATTTTTTCTATTATGCAATAAATTTCTGTAAAAGTAAGTCTGCAGCTTCATGATGCACTTAAGTGATGAATCACCACGTATTGAAACTTATTTCCTTTTGTTACTTTGTTGCAGACTGTCTCAACAGTGTGTCTGTTTGGATTATATTGCACTATGTAAAATGTGCCTTACAGTTTACAGTTGGTCTTCATAAGAAAGGCTAATAATTAAAACTTTTCTGATTAATCAAATATTTTTTAAAAAAACTCATTTTTATAGTATATGGTATATTGCCTTTGTCAAATCAAATTGTTTTACTCCCAGCAGTCCGCCCCTCTCTATCATGGTGCTGGGCTCGGAAAGTGCCATTAGCAGACTAAGGCTGGGATGGATGCTCTGAATCAATTGTGTCAACCAGATGTTTTTCTTTTATTTCCACTATCTGATTGTTGACCTCCTAAGCTTTGTATCTCACAAAGCTTTTAATTGTCTCCTTTCTTCCTTTATTCTTTTGTGGGAAGTGGGTGTGGCTGGCAAGGCCAGCACTTGTAGCCAATCCCTATTTGTCCTCAAATGACATGGTTTGCTCGACCATCTTGTAGGATAGTTAAGAGACAACCACATTCCTCTGGCTGACAGTCACGTGTAGGGTAGACCAGGTAAGGACAGTAAATTTCTTTCCAAAGGGCATGAATGAGCCAGGCAAGGTTTTACAACAATTGATGATAGTTTCGTTGCCATGTTCGAGATTTAGTAATTAAATTTAAATATCCTTAAACCCATGTCCCCCAAAAGCACTAGGTCCTTAGTTTACTAGCTAAATGTCATGGCCACTATGGTACCATCTAAAATGACCTTGCGTGCTAATAGTACTTAATCTATTTCTCCATCTCATTCTCTACTCAAATAGTTACTGTTTGTTTGTGCTGTTCTTTTACCTTCATCTGTTCCTTTTTAAATGCCGTTCTTGTGTAACAACTTTTCATTTCTTCCAAAGGGTCCACACAAATTTCAGCATGTTCGCTCTCTCCACAGATGCTGATTTGATTTGCTTATTTTCTATTTTAGTTCCAGATTTCCAAGCATTTTGTTTTCTGTTGCTTATTGTTTGATGTGTCAAAGTGCAAAAACACTAATAACACCTCAGGTAAGTCAATACGAGCAATTGTTTATTTCTTTCCTAAGGTACCAGATTTCACTACAATCATTGCACTAAACTTTCAGATGTGATTTCCATGTCATCAATGCACAACTTTGAAGAATATGATAACTGTATGTACAAATTATCCATTTTCTCCTGAAGGTAAACTGAGCACCTTCCATATATCTGGACACACAAAACTTTTAATGTGCCTGCTTCATTTGTCAGTTCCAGTTATGAAAAACTGGATTAAACAGTAAATAGATCCGTGGAAAGCTCAGGTCATTCACAGAACACCAGTGGAATTTGTTTCTGCTGTTTGTCTTGTCCTACATTTCCCATATTAGAACAGTCATATTTTGGCACTATTTAAGTGGCTGACATTCTGAAACACACTTAGTCTGAATAATTGTACTAAATTTAAATCACACCCACTTACCAAAGGTACTCTTTAAGCAGTATCTATGATGGAAGTCTGTGTGTGCCAGGGTGAATCTGTTCACTAAAATTAAGGATCAGGACACAGTCAAACATCAATTCCCTCTGATTTATTTGCCTCTAAGCAAAAATTGTGTTGAGCCAGCTGTGTTTTTATGTTCCCAACGAGATGCTCCTTAGACTATCATATCACTTTGTCTGAAGCACAAGGTACACAATGTTGTCAACATGTTTACGATGGGGGTCATAAAAGCACCTGGAAAACTGAGCACATCAGTACTGGTGAGTTGGATAACAGTGGTCTCAAATACAGAAGGGTAAGTAACAACCTGGGAAAAAAAAAATCAAGCCTTTGTGTAAAATAAGCATTGACCATAATCAGAGAAATATCACCCTAGATTCTGTTGCTCATGCAAGACTGCTGCTGCTAGAACTGTGCGCTTCTGTATTCCTTTCTTTGTGTCGACTTGGCTCAAAAAAAAACTAAACAGGTATCCACCTTCCCTTTTCGTGGTTAGGAATATAGCTAATTGAGACATTATGTGTGGAGAAAGCAGTAAAGACTTTGTAATACTACATAAACAATAATTGTCTGCAGCTTTAGATGGCATGCATGGGAGATTAACTCCAAGCAGTTTTTCCCTTAAAAACCAGCAAGGTTACACACAGTGTGCATTATTTTGCAGTGTATTGAACAGCAAATTGGGACAGTCAAATATCCCACTTGATTCACAAAGAGTAGCATCCAGAAAATTGGAAATAGATTTGTGCTTGGAATATTTGATGCCAGCACAAAATATGAACTTTTCTGCAACTTTGTGCACAAACATAGTACTGACAAGAAAAGTCAGGGTGATCGAAGAGTTAACCTCTGAATTACAAAAGGAATAATGGTAGCAGCTTTGCTCGTGTTCTAGGCTAGTGCTCCAATATTTGAAAAAAAGTCCAGAAGTGTTTTTTTTAAAATATCAACTTGTAGAGTTTAATAATAATGTGGTAGTAGGGCAAATAAATTCACAAAGCAACTTTATCATATTAGTAACCGGCACTATTTGAATGGCCTTTTGAAAAAATGAATTCAATCTCACTAATATGAAGTGATTTTTGATCATTTTCTTCCCTACAAGTTGTTGATAATAAGACTTAATAGCAGGTAAACAAACTAAAGTATTCCCAATATCTTGGAAAAAATCTGGAACAGGAGTTGCAAGGATACAGTTTGATGTGAGAAATTCCTACATTTACACAAGGTATAATCAAAACCCACCAACAAAAATGGACCCTTGGCATTCTATCCATTGAAATTTGAAAAGATTCTATTAAAAAAATAAGGAATTTACAGCCCAGGCCATGTCACAAATTTTTCTCAAAAGGCTTAACAGAAATGTGGTTCCATTTGACAAGTTTGGCAGCAAGGTATATCCCAAATTCATAATGTGAGAGTCATTACCTCACAATTACCAAAATAAGGAACAACTCAGTTTGCTATGACAGTAATTTAGTAAGAACTATGTACATGATCATATAATAAAATTATAACATTTACTTGCTGCAAAGGTGATCAGAAATTTACATCTAGGAAACTAAGTGCAGTCAAGAAATGAGCTACAATTGTAGTCCAGTCTTTTCAAATACATTGAACAAGTCAACTATATTGTTGAAATTTGATGACCATCCCACTGTTTACAAATCAGACTGGCAATAGTACAAGTTAGAGATGAGTGAGTGGGAATATTCCATCAAAATTAGATCGATTTCCCATTAATAGGGGAAAGTTTCATTTGTAATGTCGCAGGAATATGTCTACCCCATAAGTTCAGTTTCTGAAAGCTCCACACTTGCTTGCTTTTACAATGAATTCTTTCAAGAGAGCTCCATCCATTTGCCAAAATGCATCAGTGTCAGTGACTGCAGTCAAGTGATTCATACAAAATTTGAAGCAAAACTCTTCTAAACCCTAGACACAAAAGAAGGAATTTTGTGTTAATACTTCTTACGGAGAAGTGGGTATGGGGGGGTTGTGAGAAGGGTGGTGGGGGGGTTGTGAGAAGGGGGGTGGGGGGGGGGGGGACAGTGGGGGGGTGTGGGGAAGTGCGAAGGTGCGGGAAGGGAGTGAGAAGGTGGTGGGGGGACAAACAAGAAGAAGTGGGAAATGAGGAGGGGAAGGGGGATGGAGAGAATTTGGGGGGGGGGGGGGGGGGGGGGGGG